TGTGTGTGTGTGCTACGTACTGGTGACCGGTGACCCGTCCTTCACTGTACTACCCCTGATTCAGATGAGTGACTTGACCGTAAACAGCTCTTCCTTTTGTTTCCTTTTAACAATACAGCCATACAACACTGTATGTCTGCAATTTGAAGGTAGTGGCTCGTAAAAACTGTGTGTGTGTGTGTGTGTGTCTGTGTGTGTGTGCGTGTGTTTACATTACACAAAACTACAGTTAGTTCCAATTACTGAAACTCTGACGCTGGTGCCTTAAATAGAGAAGAATGGTGTGACTAATGAACTGATCTGTAGTTAGAATAATAAAAGAGTGAAAAAAACAATAGAGGGGGGTGAGGATTGGATGGGTGTGAATGGGGGAGACGGGGGTTCTTTTTACTTTAAGCTGTCTTGTCAGACGGTGACTGATGGTGCTCAACACTGAGCCTTGATTAATACAGCAACAAACACACTATTTCCTATGTGGATGTATATAAATATCTACCTCGGCAGAGGATGAAGTCCATCTCCTCCCGGCTTCCCCACCGCGCTGTCAGCTCCGTTAGCGCTGTCAGCTTCGTCAGCGCTGTTAGCTCCGTTAGCTCTGTTAGCTCCGTTAGCTCCGTTAGCTGCAGGCCGCCGGCTCAGTCGCAGCCGTGGCGAGAGCTGTTTTGGAGAGAGAAGAGATGCTCAAAATACACGATACAGCATCTGTGAATGATCGCAGCCGTGGCTGCAGTTCATAAAAAGGTCATTGTCTGGTGTTTGATTAAGTGGGTCAAAGAAAGGACGGGTTGAGGTCTTAAAATAACAAGAGATGGATGATCGGGCTGTAAAAAAAAAAAAGAAGCCGTGACGTGGTGGTCGCACAAACTGAATGTAATCTCTATCTAGAGAAGCGTATGACTGATTTAACTCACCGGCCTCACAGCGGGACATCAGGCGTAGTGTTGTCCAGGGTCCTACCACTTCCTGGTGTTTGGGGAGGTCCGGTGATATGACCCTTGACACTTAAAGCTTTGTCTTAAACTCAACGACTCAAACTGTTAGGCTTGAAACAGATTGCACATTGTGCGACTGTAGTTGCAGCCTCTAAAAGCCGCTCACATCACCAGTTTGGCGTGGAGGAGACCAGCAGCCGTAGCCTTTAGTTCTCCATCCTGAGTCCAGTCCATCTAGTCTGGTGTGAGATCAGGTAACAATTAAGTTGTTAACAAGACTTTGACGTTGACACCAAGAAGACTCCGACCAGCAGTTACAAAGTCAGTTTGACGTCTTTGCACTGGCTGTCCTTTGTCTTTCCGAGGAACACTGAGCTCCATCCAGAGTATCTACAGCCACACAGGGGGGGGGGGGGAGAACAAACCCAGCGGGGGGGCGACGGGGAAAAGAGAAAGTCAGACAGACGGGACACAGGACAGTGGTGCAGGACGAAAGCAGCCTATTTTCAAACCGAGGCGGCGGTAAAGTTATCGGACAGAGCGGAACGTTTTTCACCGACCCGGCTGAGCTCTGACAGCCCACTGCGATTCCCCGCGCGCCGCTTGTGTCAGTGCGCCTGTTTGTCCGTGTGTGTCTGTGTGTATATTTGTCTCTCTCTAGCACCTCCGTGTCCTCGCTAATAGCCGAGTGGACTCCCCGCAGTCTCCACAGGCCGCACTGTGATTATCACCACTTAGTCGAGCACCCACACAGAAACGCGCACACGCACACCCCGCGGCAGACACAGAGCGCACAAATTTGTGCGCGCAGCAGGGCAATGCACACAACGCGTGTGCCGTCAGCTCCGCGGGTGTGTGCGACTCTCTCCGCGTGTTCGTCTCTGCATCTGCGTATGTGTGAATCTTCTCAAATGTGTGTGTTTACAGTATGCGTGTACAGGGCGTGTGTGTGTGTGTGTGTGTGTGTGTGTCTCCTCCTGTGGTAAATGAGGATGTCAGTGCGGCCCATGTTGACACACTAATTTATTGTGGCTCTCTTCCCGTAAGAGCTGCTCAGTAATATGGCTTATTGACGAGGCTGCAGGGAGTGAGTGAGTGAGTGAGTGTGTGTGTGTGTGTGTGTGTGTGTGTGTGTGTGTGTGTGTGTGTTTCAAACGATCCGATTGTTCTGACTGCATTTCGCGCCACACCGATGGGCCCTGATGGGGGGAGGAAAACGGGCCCGGCTGCGAGGGTCCTGGGACAGGAAATCGGACGGTGTTGAAAAACGAAGCCGCCGCAGCTCGGAGGCGCCGACGGGTTGACACGACACACACACACACACACGTGCACACTCACACACACACACGGGCACAAGTAAAGTCCACTCATTCAAGTTGTCTGTCATTTGTATTTCTGCCCCGACTGTCTGAACACAATGGATCCGTTTTAAAGTTGGGTCAAAGCTTTTATTGCTTTATTTTGTGTGGTTAGCTTTCAGCGGCCGGGGCGGATCTTATTTTCAGGGTCTTTCGGGGCCCTTTTACAAAAACACTGATATTGCGTCTCTCTCTCTCTTTTATTTTTTTATCAAGAAAGAAAAACAGCTTCGTGCGTGGGGGGGTCTCAGGTCTCAAGGCAGCGGGTGTGCATTGCTAAACTCCTGAGAGTGGAACCCACTGGGCCCCTGGAGGGGGGGGGGGGCTGATGGAGTATGGCAGTGTGCGGAGAGAAAAGAGGACAGGGAATAAAAATGACGATCAAACGTGGTGGTAAGAAACGCGGCATCAAATGGAGGAGGGACGAACCAGTGGCAGAATTGAAAGGAAATGATTGATAGAATCAAAGGATTGGGTTTGTTGGCAGGTGTGAACGGAGCCGGTGGTGCCTGACGACAGGCCAGCGGGCCGGTTCTTCCCCCGACGGAGAGCAGGGATCCCGTTACCCTCCACTGGTTTCACAGCTCCCACGTGGCTATCGGCCTGACCATCATTGAGCCCCTGGAGGCCACGGACCATATTTGTGACGCGTCGGCGCAGCCCGCGAATATCTGAGCTAAGACCCGCCCTCGAATGTGGAGGCAGGACCGGATCTGGAGTCTCAGCCGGTTAGTTTGCGAGCCGGTTTAATGCTAATGAAAAAAAAAAGCTCGTCGTCCACTCCTTTCCCCTCTGGATTGACCTGACTCACCTGCAGGGCCTTTCTGCCCCTCTGTCCGTCGTGAGTTCGGGCGAACCCCCCGGGTCCACTCCTTGGCGAGCAGACAAGCGCGTCATGGATTAGCACATCTTAGTCTCACAACATACTGTTGCAAGTTCCTCAGAGGAAGGCGCGAAGGGAAGGTCCAGAAGGCCTGGGCCCCGTGTGGTGCGTTGGAGTGAATTCAGAATGATTCACAGAGGTGGTTGAGGAGTCTTCCTGTCCAAAGCCTGCCTGCCAACTTGTGGATGCTGAGATTTATTTACTACTGTTTGCATTCGGCGCGCTCTCCTCTTGCTGTGTGAACCGTCAATCATCATTACCCTTCAAATGAAGAAAGAACTGAAATAAAAAAAGACCTTTTCCCAATAAAAGATGTGACTGTACCAGCGGCCATCGGTTGCTCCACATAAGACGGATCCAGCATGGCGTCGATGTGAGCATGTGATCTGTGCTCTCATCACCTGACACGTTCCAGTTGGCCCGGGTGGGTTTAGTTTCAGTGGAGAGACACCGGAAGAGGGGAATGAAGAGGGGTGAGGGGGGCAGCTTGGGGAGGTCGAACGACTAAAGGGACCCATGGAATGAGTAGGGGGGGGGGGGACTCTTTCTCACAAACACACACACACACACACACTCAGAGCTGTCATGGAAAAAGAACTTAATACCTCCAGACCTCCAGAGATGTTAGGAAACATCTGAGTGATGGTTTGATGGTGTGCGTGCGCGCCGGCGTGTGTGTGTGTGTGTGTGTGTGTCACTGACCTGCGTGACCACGGGGATTCATCTGCCTATACCGAGAGCTGCTGGCCCGCTCCGGGCAAACCAAGACCGATCCCGGGATGAGACCGTGGGTCAGCTCCGTGCTCATTAGATCGCCGGTTCTCAGAGAAGTTCAAGGGGCTATAAATAATAACACGTGATGTGTAATTTTCTTCGTCATGAAGGTTTGAAAGCGTTTTTTTTTCTTCCCACGAGATGGCTCACCGAGCGGTCGCCGCCGACCTCAGCCGTGTCATTTCGGGCCTGCGTGCGCATGTGTGAGTGTTCGCAGGGTGCGTCCTGGGGAGGCAGCGAGCGAAAGCCACGGTTTGGGTTTGGCTGGGTTTTTTTCAGACCACGAGCTGTGGTGTCGCTGCAGGCCCTAAAAACTCACCTCCCACGGACATGTTTGCTGAATTACTGTGTACCGCTGAGGAGGACAGGAGGAAATATAGCACAGGTTTAAACTAAGAGTTTACCCCCTGTCTATTTGCCCTTCAACCCCATTTCCACGAGTGTGTCGGAGCTGCGTTTCCCTTTATTTAAATTTTATTCACCAGTGACCTATTACGAGTCTTTCATAAAAAAGCGAATGATGTCGTTAAATGTCTTATTAAATCAAAGCGCATTAGTCAAATGGTTCGGGTGACTGATACACATCCGATTCCTTTTTGATTCCTTTCCATTTTGATTGGTTTATCAGCGTAAACCAGCACCAGGTTCCATTTAAAGCTCCCAGCACGAAGCTCATAAAGCTGTGCTGTGGGTCTCTCCTCGCTCTGTTTTTATGCTTTTCATCCTTCCACCTTCCCCTGGTCTCTTCAACATCAGACTCAGAGAGAAAAGTCGAGGAGTAAAAGAGGCATTCTGGAAACTAGATGACGGGGCAGCGGAGGGAAGTGGGAGAAATAGGGGGAGAGATGTGATATAATAATGAATTAGAGGGAGAGAGAGAGGGGGGGGGGGGGGAGGAGAAAACAGATGAAACTGCTCTTTAATCAATGAGGGGGTGTATGGGGGCGGGCCGAGGTGCCTACTGGAATCCGATACAAGCTCGCGCGCATGGCGTGCGCGCACACACCGAGGCGGGGGACCGAGGGAGCAGTCCTGTTCGCTGCACACAAACCCGCTGGATATCGGTAGGAGCGCACTGCCGGAGCCGCCGAGCGAGCGAGAGCGAGAGGGGGAGAGAGGGAAGGGGAGAGAGAGAGACCTCTGCTTGAACGTGAAGGAGAGAGAGAGAGAGAGAGAGGGGGGAGCCGGCATAGAGGAGCGTGCTTCAGCGGACAGACGCGCAGTTTGCAGGAGGAGGAGAGCGGAGAGAGCTGCCGGTTTTATTTTCTCCGGATCACTTTTACGCACGCACAACGGAGCGGTCTCCTCCAGGAACGGACTGCTATCGAAACAGTTGCTTAGGAGGATAATCGATGGGGAAATGCATTTGTACTTTCCCAATCACATGTGATTTTACCAAGTAATCGCTGACTTGGGAGAGAGAAACAGAGCATAAGATTTTTGGATATTTTATCGAGACGAAGAGGAAACGCGCTGTAGAGCGAATTACTTTTTTCAGTTATTTTGGTAAAAAAAAAAAGGTTTTAACCCGTGATTTGTACTCATTCAAATACAATTCAAATTGTGTCTTTTTGCACTTTCTTCTTTTGGAGGTTTTTATTCCCACGCGCGGTGGGACTGGCAGGGAGAGACTGAGCTGCCGTACACGCGCATCCCCGATGGATCGTGAGGCTTTCAAGATGCGTTTACAGTAGATTTTGCAAAATAAGTTTTCACATGTGTTAAGAAGAAGCGCACGTTGACAACCCCCCCGTACACACATTAGCGTTTAACCTGCGCAATATTCTTGCAGAGGGAACGCAACCTGAATTTTGGGCACTGCTTGTGTTGCGCTTCAAAAATAAAAAAAACTACTGGAAAGGAAAACGAAATAACGACTCTGTAAAGCAGCCCTGTCTCCGATTCACGGACTAAGACCACGGAGGAGGAGAAGAGGTGTTTTTTGTCCACATCTGAGCGGAAACATGGATTTATTCATAAGCCTTTGTGGATGTTTACTGGCCGTTTTCTTGCCTTCAGCGGTCAGAGCAGAGGAAGGAGGTGAGTTTGACACTTCGCTACGCGCCCAGACCACACTCTCACACCCGAAGGCTGCATGTAAACTAACCCGCTTTGTTTTTTTGGATAAGTGGTTCCCAATCCACATCACAAGTACTGAACCCGTGACACACGTTGTGTGGTTTCGATTACAAACAGTTGTGGTGTTTCCGCGTCGAATCAAACTGTGTTGCGCTTCTCTGGGGAGGAATGCGGGTGCAGAGTTCAACCTCCAAATCCCGTTCAAATGATCCGTTGATCGCCATCGCACCCGGAGACCCCGGAGCGCGAGATGTCCTGTCTTATTTTAACCCCACGGCGTGGGAGAGCATCTCGCGCGGTTGGCACAGGGGCGGAGAGATAAAAACCAAAGTCAATAAGTAAATCATTATTAATGTGTCCATCAAACGCCTAATCAATCACCCGACATACATTTGGGCAAAGGCGTAATGGGGGCTCGACAACTTCCCCAACAACGACCACCTTCCCACCGTCCCACTAAGCCGCCGCGTCCGCTCCGCCTGGGAGCAGGTTTAATCAACACGGGGGATGCTGGGATGTTGTGTTGGGTCTTTTCTTGCGCGCATGTTGTTGTCTGTATAATTCGGAGAGCTGATAAACGAAATGAAAACTCTCGAATGTTCCGAAGAGGTCTTGAATCTGACCGGGCTCCTGCCATCGGGGCTCCAGACGCGCGGGGCTCTCAGGCCGCGGAGGTCCGGCACCTCCCAAGCTACGTGCGCGCGCGCGCTGTGGTTCGGAGCTTGGCGAGCCGGGAGGGATTGCGCGCGTATGGGTGGGAGAAAAAAAACTTTACGCACGGGGCGAACACCGGGGAAGGTCTTTCATGCGCTCATCTTCTCTTTTAACAAACCTAACCGTGCTGCCTCCTCGGCGGGGCAGCAGCAGGCTGCTATTTATAGTACCCACTGATGCTCTTTAAGAGAATAAAGCGTGTGTGCTATTTTATGGTGCGACGCTGTCCTTCTTTCAATCTACTTGGTCTCAGATTATTTCTCACAGCAGTCTACGCAAGAACAAAAACAGCCTGATAAACTTGGCTGGAACCGTTTTTTCGTAATCTCTCCTCAAGGCCCACTTCCGGCTGTGAGATGCATTTGGGTGTGAACACGATTTACAAGAGGGCGATGTGCGATGGAGAAGTTAGTTGCACTCTATAGGTTTTATTGATTTACGGCTTATTCTGGGCTTGTTGCCGATCTCATGACTTGGATTGAGTGGCCGGTCTGCCAAATGCTGTTTCTTGAGAAGAACTGAACAGTGGAGGCGTTCTTTGCGTCACGCTTCCCTTCCGATGTGAGGAGATATGCGCCGCGCCGCCCTTAACCGCAGGTGACACGGCCTTTAACATACAGAGATAACTGCTGACATACAGCTGTATGTGTAAGAGTTCCAAAGACTTTCCTAAGCAGACAAATGACATTTCATCAACAGATTAAAATGGCCTGTGTGCGCATTCCAATCAAAGTAGAAAGTATGAGAGCTGTGAGCCAAAATCGTGGTGATGTTCAGGGTGAAACCAACAAGACTTTATCTTCAAAGCCAGAAACGTGTCTGTCTTCCTCCTCCGGTCATCGTTGCTCCCCCATAAAGGCCGTGGTTAGTATTTCTGCTCCTACAGATGCTGTGCAGCGCTCACGGGTCACTGGAAAACCACCCATTGTGATATGGGGACTTGTATACTCCTCTATTTTCTTTGGCAACGTACCTCCTTCTCTTCCCCGGGGTCTGGACCAGCTCTCCGTCCAGGTGGAGCCACTGGAGCAGTAGGAAGCTTCCTCAGCGGTAAACCTCTGCTGCAGATGCCTCCGCTGTCTCCGGAGATACGAGCAGGGAAAGCAGAGTGATGCAGAGGAGATGTGTGTGTGTGTGTGTCTCAAAGACACAGAGAGAGAGAAGGGCAGCAGGGAGGGATGGAAGTAAAAGGGGGGAGGAAGTAGCAGGGACAGAAACAGGCAGAGGGAACGAAACGGAAGAACGATTTTTTAGCCTCGCTGTTTGATCCCGTTTCTTCATTCCGTCTGATCGCAGCTGTGCCTGCGAGGGAGATAAACGGACATAATTGGCCACTCAAGACCAGCTGTCTTCCTCCGCGGTGTCTCTGCTGAGATGTGGCGGGCGATGAATCAGGCCCACTGCGATGCGCAGTGGGAGAGGCTCTAGCAGTGGGGTGACTTGCCCACAGGTGAGCTCCGAGGACCGGTTTGGGAGACGGTTTTTAAAAGAGTGTAGAACAGAGCGGGAGACGGCGTCCACAACAGAACACGCAAACTGTCTCGGGCTTTTTCTGTTGCTTTTTAATCGTTACACGTCATTGACCTTCAGACGTTACTTCAGATATCAGGTTTTCCTGGTGAATTTCCAGCGTAACACAACATCTAAGTAACACAACCCGGTGCCTTGTGAGGCCGGCTTGTAGTAATTACACGTTACATGGAAGGAGGTCATAATGTTTTGTAAGCTTCAAGCGGCCATCAATAAAACAAATGATCCCTGTCATGTTGCATCCTGTTTTAGCTCACTGCACAATGGACTGACTCGTTCTCTGTAATATCTTTTGTCTTGGAAAACGTTCATTGGAGTGATTGCTTTTTTATTAAAATGAACTTAACTTGCTCCTCGCAGTGTAATTTACTCATTTCATTGCTCATAAAGGTTGGCAAGCTAGAAATACGCTTTAAAAATAGCAAATGACATGAACAATATCGGGAGCTAAATATGTTTTGCAGCTGAGAAGGAAGGTTGCAGTTCTTTAATCAGCTCATCAAGACACGTGGGTAGTACGCCCGTGCGTTGAGGAGCATTGGGTAGAGCCGGCGACCAGGAGGGCGCGTTGGTGGAACGAGCGGAAAGCAGCGGAATGTGAAGCGGTAGTTGAGGGAGGCCACCTGCAGTAAACCAACCCAGATTATTCCTCCCCTTGTTGAGACCTCTGGCCGACGGAAAGCCTCTTATTGATAAATACTCTGATTATAGTTTAGGCAAAAGGGAATTTCCTAAATGGTTTTCGTGAGAATGAAATTCCATTATAGTCGAAAAGATTATTCGTTATGAAGACGTGCAGCATTTTATTGAAACCATACAACAAACCAGAGGGTTTTGTTCACAAAGAGGTCATGACACATGAGTAAACTGCAATGCTTAGATTTAAATCTCTTGCTACTGCAAACCAAGTCTGCAGGTACAACTAAAGCGACCTCACCATTGTTTGCGACAAACGAGTGTAATAAGCTGCATCAGGCGCTGTGAGATTCAGACCTTCTTCAACCCTGATTTCCTTTGAAGGGTCGAGCAGGTAGCAGATGTTTTCCACCAGATTCCACAATGAGGGTTTCAGACGGCTGTGTTCTTCCTTTCCTGAGAAAAATACAATAGCAACAAGAAAAAAAAAAAAGAATCAAAGGCGAACACATTAGCCTTCCCATCATTAGAATAATAGTGGCGGGGACAACAGAGCGGCTACGCCACGGTTCGCAATGAGAGAAGAAACATTAAGCAAATTAACCTTCGGCACGGTCCCTCTCCGTCTCTCTCTCTGTCCCCCTCTCATCTGTAAAATGGAAAGGACAATTAGCGGGTCCGGCAGGATGTTCTAATTACAGTTATCATGTCATTAGCGCACTGCAAGCATTGTGGTGTCTTCGTTGGCCGTTGGTAACGACTGGAGTAATTAGAGAGGAAGGGAGAGAGCGAGCGTGTGTTCTTGTTTTTGTTCACATGTGAAGAACAAATGTCCTCGCGGGGACCGAGGGATCATGGGGACCCTTCAAATGGGCACATTTGCCTGTCCTCACACAAGAGATAGTGTGTGTGTGTGTGTGTGTGTGTGTGTGTGTGTGTGCTGGAAGCTATAAGCCTTTCTGGTGTTCAGCAGTTCCCCCCGGAGCAGTTTCGTGCCGGCCCACCGGTTGTTTTCCTTCTTCCCTTCACGCCGAATCATCCCGTTGTTTTCCTGCTTCCACGGCACTTCACCTCTCCGTCAACAGGACGCCGCGTCTCTTTCTCCACACCCCCCCCGCCCTCCCCGTCAGTGTTTCCCCTCGCTCCGATTAAGAAACCTTTCTCACCTTCTAGTCGCCCACTTTGCACGGTGGGAAATCTTTTTACGTTTTCTCTCGTCTCCCCGACTCTTTCGATCTGTGTTTTTTCATCCTTTTCTTCTTTCCGTCTGCAGGAGAATAAAGCTTAACTGTTTTAAAATCCATTCACACGGTTTGCTGGATCAACTTCATTCATACGCATCTTAAAAGGCTTATTCATAGCAGGCTGCTTTTCCTTTTACAATCTTTTAAAGGAAAATAGAATATTTTGGTTCCACTGATTCAAATTCAACTCAACAACTCTGCATATGACTTAATCTTTAGTACACTAGCGTGATGCTTCCATCGGGAAAGTCAGAAGATTTACTTTTCAGTGAACACTTTAAAACGCGCTGAATTCCTCACTGAGTATAAATTGGATTTAGTCGACTCTTTAACCCTCCGCGCCGGAACCAGATGCATAGCGGCCTCGATGGAAAAGGGCTGGTGGTGTTTTAGAGAAAGGTCCGTGAAGAAGACTTCTCTTTGGGTGACGGCACCCCACTGTACCAGTCTCCGGGTCTATTTACTTTATAGACCTCGTTGGCTGAGCACACGGGCCATTTTTTTTTTTAAGCCCAAGGCCCATGAACCAGAGGCACGGACAGTTGTAAATCACGTACGGCGGCGCCCTCGACCTCACCTCGGATGGAGCGCCGTGAGGTAAACTTGTTTAAACACAGTGTCAAATGAAGTTAATAAGAACCAGGGCCGACGGCGCCCTTTTGCTCCGAAGGGGCAGCGAAAAACCACCCGTGTTGCAAAGTGTCCCACCGCGACGACGTGTGTTTACTTCAACGTCCCAAAGCCCACCAGCGACGCCAGCAAAGGGGGGGGGGCGTTATTATGGAGGAACAAAGTCAGCGCAGGCAGGAGGTCGGGCCTCACACATGTCACGTTGTCACATCGTAAAACAGATTTGTTATGGATTTGGAAGGCCCAGACAGATGTTGTCACTCTGCCCGTGCTCCAGGGGGGGCAGCGTGTGCATTTCGACTCGTTCTGATTCGTATTTATCGGAGTAAACTTATGGACATTAAAGCAGCTGTAAGTAATCAAGCTGGGGACATGACGGGACACGTCCCGTTCGTCTCTTCCTCCCTCTACTCCGCCGTCTCACAGTGTTAGTTTTCTATTCATCATTGTTCATCGATTGTCGTCTTTATCTTGTTTATCCGCTGTCATATTCCCCCTAAAGCTCCACACACCCCGCCCGTCTCTCTCTGAATCACACGCGCATCATTCGTTATTCTTTAACCACTCCTTGCCTCTCTTCTCTCCATCCTTCATCCCTCTTCTTGGTTTCTCAGTTTCCCACTGAGGCTTAATGCCGGTCACCTGGAGCAAAGCACCAGAGCCAACTGTTTGTTCCTCTGTGTGGGAGAGAGTTGTATTTTCTGTCCGGCGAGCTTTTCCGAGCTGCTGACTTTCTCTTTTCAGATGATAAAAGACAGATGTTCTGGCATTGTGCTCTTTTTCGGCCTCGTTCAGTTTCTCTCTCTCTCTCTCTCTCTCTCTGTCTTTCCATTCCTGAGGTTTCCCAGGTTTCAATGACTAAAAGCTCCTTGGTTCTGGTCCAAAGAAGACATTGCAGCCTATTATTTTCAGTGTTTCGCGTATCCCCAAAGACGCAGCTACAAACGTGTCTATTTCTACCATTTACGGTAACAATGCCCGAGGCGTTTTGTCAGTGCTTCATGTTGCTGGAACTGAATCCGCCCCTGCTGAAAATGTGTTGTCAAACAGTAAGAAATGCATGGAAATCAAAGGGGAAAATAGAGCACATTGATTGATAACTTCAGGGACCTGTTGACATCAACGAGAATGTGAGGCTCACTGTGCTCTCTCTTGAGTATTGGGGGGGGGGGGGGGGATATTTTGCTTCTCTGAAAACAACAGCCCAGTTTTCCACGAGCCCTTCTTTTTCCTCCACCCGAAGTTTTACACCGTGAAACCTTTCTGGAGACCCCAACACTTTTTGGGGGCCGGCCGCAGAAAATCTGGTCGTTAGGCCCACAGTATTTCTCTCATTGCACGTCTGTATAGATGGAGCTCTGTTGAGGCGTGTGTGTGTGTGTGGGGGGGGGAGTTGCTGAATAGGTGTTATCAGGATGCAAAACTAAAGGCGGGGGAGCGACATAAAGCACGGTGCTTAGCACCGTTTACTGCTGTTTTGCCGGTGTGTGCGTGCGAGAGTGCGTTACTTTGTTTGTCTGTGATCTGAGCTCAGGTACGTCCAAGCCGGCGAGGGAGGAGCCGTGTTCAGTGATTTGTGCATTCCTAAACACGACTTCCCTGATTGAGTCTGAAGTGTTTCCCGCGAGACAGAGCGCTTCCGTTCCAGTAATTAGCAAGAAGTTAAGGTGGATGGGTGGATCCAAAAACGAAAAAAATATTAGTAAAGCACGATACCCACAAACTGCTTTCACAACGCGAGCTGTGGCACCTCCACGGCAAAAAGCCCGACATTAGCGAGCTGCGGCTTGAGCTAAAAGTGGCGTTTGGCTGATGCCGCTGTGAGATTCCCGAATGGTTAAACACTAATCCAGGTGGTGCTGGGATGAGATGCGTCTGGCCGGGTTACACCGGCCACGTAACTCTACCCCCGTATCACCGGATGTCACCAGGGAGATTGGAAACCGATAGGAGGAGGTAGACATGACTAGTTGGCTCACAGCATGGCGGAGGAGGTGGAGGGTAGAGGGGGGGGGGGGGGATCGGCAGTGTGAGGTAGACACCAGATATAGAGGCCAAAGTGTCAATCAAGTGTATTGACCTGCGCTCTAATCCTGCCTGCTTGGCTCTTGAGTGTGTCAGTCAGTGTGAGTGTGTTTAAATCCATCCCGAGGACGGGATTTCAGATGCGTGTGTAGAACGTGGTGTCTGATAAAGTGGGTTCATGTTTGCAGGTTGTGACTCCTCTCCGAGTTGGTCCACGGTCTATTTATGGTGTTAAAACATGTTGTGTTCTGCCGAGCAGTTGGACTCGGCTGTGTCTCCGCACAGTGGCAGCAAATTAAACGTCACAGACCAAGAAGTTACGCAACGTTTCGTTCTGTTTGGATGAGGCGTGTTTCCTGAGGAACATCCAGCCCTGATTGAAACAACAATACGGAACGTCGGCAGCTTGCTTGTGTATTTGTTATTTCCAAATCATCAGCAGGAAATGATCTCAGGGGTTGCTCACCGGACAAATTCTTCCTGGCAAGCGGTCAGCATTCAAAAATGTCTTTATTAGTATAATCTGGTCCATCGTTTGCTCAAAATGTCAGTGTTTTCTACTGACTCCCAGCCACATCAGGAATGCAGTTAAATTATTAAATGAAATCCCTCAAGAACAACATGTTTAATCCCAATTGCAACATCACTAGTTTTACAGAAAGAGTAGTTATTTAAAGTAATTGTGTCCTCTTATGCCTTATGTTACATACTCATATTCGATTGGATGCAGTGTAATCGAGGGTGCGGGACGGTTCTTGAGGGCCTTCTGGCAGACGGTGGCTCATGTGGTGCCATTATATCGGCATATCGGGGGGCATGCACTCAACAAAACGGCACCCAGTGTCTCCACCACGGCGACATAACTTGAGTTCCGCAGATGTTGAACAATGACGAAGTTGAGCTCATGTTCAAAGTCTGCGCAGTCAATCAAGCGGCGCGGCCCGGCGCACAATGGGGAGCCACAGACGCGATACAGTAACGCTGTGTGCGCGTGTCGGTGTCACTGATGTGTACGAGTCGCCCCGTCTATGTCAGGGGTACATCTGCCGCAGAGAACGAGTGCCGTTGTGTGCGACAAGACACAGACTCACGCCCGCTGACAAGTGGATCCGCTCTTGTCCCCCGTGTGTCAGCCGGCCCGTCCTCGTGGGTCAGAATGGACTTCTTTGTGTGCCGCCGTGCTGAGTTGACCTTTTGGGACGTGCATCCACATAGACGCCGCTCTGTTTCTCACATCCTGTCAGTGCAAACACAACTCTTATCTGTTTTTCATCAGTGTTCAACATTTCCCCAAGTGTGAAATTGTGTTTAAATGAACAAATAAGTAGGAAATAAATTCGTAATTGAAATGAAATGATTTTATTAATTCAGTATTGTGCGGGGAGATTGTTTGAAATATGCCCCGGGGACCATCTTCTTAATAAGGGAGAAAAAAGACATCAAACAAAGAATTAATGAATTGGGCTGTAAATATGTGTTAGATAACTGTCACCTGTAATGACCAAAATAATCATGAATATAAAATGTTATGCATTGACAGTCACATTTTATGACCACATGCTTTGGATCGTTTACTGCCGCAGGTAGGCCAGTGTCACATCAGAGGCTACGTTAGCGAGCTAACGTCGGGAGAAGCCTTTTGTCTCGTTTCCATCATGTGATATTCAAACGTAACCATTTAACTGAGCACATTTAGACGTAAAGTCGACGAACCGCTGGCTACGGATACTAAGCGCGTTTCTCTCCCAATCCCCATCCAGCGTCCGAGCCGTGCGGCGGCTACTTGGACGCCAGCGACGCCGGCTACATCACCACGCCCGGCTACCCGCTGGAGTACCCGCCTCACCAGAGCTGCCGCTGGGTCATCACCGCGCCGGAGCCGTCGCAGCGCATCGTCCTCAACTTCAACCCGCACTTTGAGATAGAGAAACTGGACTGCAGGTAACGGCTGAACGCATGAAAACCATGAGGTTCTGTTACCACAAAGTTCTCCCTCCTCGGTGCTCGCTTCTCCGCCAGCTTGAGAGTTGGTGTATTTCGGTGTTGGTGTACTCTATCCCATAAAAACCAATCACTCCGGGAGCTCCCTCGCCCCTTGTCTCCCAATTATCAACGTCCAATCCCAACACATTTACTGTTCCAGGCCCGTTTCACACTGCGGAGGAATTACCACAGATTAGAGGATTGCTGTCCGTTCTTCTGTATTTTTTTTTGGGGGGGGGGGGCTTGTTTGGCTTCGGTTTCACGCACTTCTGCCGCATGAAATGAAAATACAGCACACGGACATCAAGAAAAGACAGGCATGCTGGGAAATCATGGGAAATGTAGGAAGGCTGGCTTAGAAGTGAATCCTATTTAAGCTCACTGAAGGAGTGATCATAGGAACAGGGTACTTTAAAGAGGAATATGAAAGACTTTTCAAACATTAAAAAAACTCACTCTCACTGGGCAATGGTTTTGGATCCGGCACAATCAGTGATCAAAACTTTAAGTTAACACTCAAGAATTATAAAAGTGTAATGAATCCAAAATGAGATGGAGCCAGAGATGGACTGCTGCTTCTAAATTGGCAATTATTGCAAAAGTACAACAACATGATCAAAAGCCCAACATTTGGTAAAAACCAATTAGACAAGTTCATCAAGAACTGGGGTGCTTAAGGACATTTTTATTTCCCCCCCAGAATGTGTGAAGGCTCTGAGGCGGCGGAGCTCGTTATCTGCGCCGAAGACATCGGCCTACATTTTATTTTTGTTTTTTAAATGAAAGTGCCGACCCTCCCTCGTCCCACACAGAGAGGAGACCGCTGTCTCCCAGGGACCTAATGGTTTACTGTGAACCTAAAGAGCCACATGCAAGGCCAGAAACACACACACACACACACACACACACACACACTTACCCTCTCCTGTTATTTCTCTGTTCCGGTGCTTTCCCGTCCAGTCAGCTGCATCAATTATAGATGGGTGATTTTCCCCACTCAGTGGTACCAAAATCATTCAGACATTTCTTTGTTGGAATTGAAGCATCAATATTTCACTTGCTGGCTGTTTGTTGAAAAGCTGAAAGGTTGAAAAGAGGGAGGCCTGTGTTCTGCTTTGCTTTCCTACTGTGCTGTGGAAATGAAAAACATACTTCTCTGTCTCCCTGTCTTCCCCATTTTTCGGTTTTACTCTGCAGTTTTTATCCCGGGATCAGCTTTAGCAGATGCTCTCTGTCCACCCTCCCTGTCTTAGTTCTTTCTCTTTCAATTTCTCGCACCGATTTTGAGTGGACTAGTTACCGAGTAGGAGGACATTTGTTTCTGGAGCCGCAAACAATGGGCTCTTATTCATTTATTATGCTATAAGCGCATTTAGTATGTGTTCGTTTTCTGATTTCTCTTAGTTTCCGTTTGCTTCCAGTCATGAAAAATGACATTCTCTGAGAAGTAATTGTTAAGCCGTGTCGGTAAGAGCTAACAACTCAACTGTACTCACAAGTGTCCTGCAGAGCACAGCTATTTAAGTCTCCAGGGGCCCATCGCCTGCAGTGTGTGTGTGTCTGCTGAAATTGAGCTGTTAGGTTCAGAGGGCAAGAAGAAGAAGTGTGTGTGTGTGTGTGTGTGTGTGTGTGTGTGTGTGTGTGTGTGTGTGTGTGCGTCTGCGGTAAAGGGCCGACGAACATCCTTGATTCACACATGCCAGGGTCTGTGTGTCAAGTTTTGACTCATTTTCCCGTCTTTTAATGTTTAGTTCCGTCTTTCGCAACCTCTTCTCGTTGAGGCGAAGGGATCATCATGTGTTTTCAGACAAACGCGTGATGAGGCAGCATCATCCCGCCGTGTATCGGGGGAAAAAAAAGAAACCCGTGATACGGTTGCACAAACACAGTTTTTAAAAACAAACACACACAAACAGGTGTGTCATAAATCCGCGGGCCCCGTCCAGGCAGCGGGGAGGGGGGCGAGGGGGGCGGGTTGTTATGATGTCACTACGGTGAAGCAATCTAATCTATTGTGTTCCTGATTGCAAATTAAGATGGCAATCCGTAATCTTTAACGTATCGCATTTTGTCGAGCACTCTGCTGACTCTGCAGGCAGAAATCGATGTAAAGGTGGTGGGACGGGGGGGACGGGGGGGGATGTTTTCATTAAGATTCATATACAGAGGCAGTTTGAGTGCGGCGAGGCAGCTGGAGGGAGCGAGAGGGGTGAAAAGGAAGACCGAGCACTAAAGACTTCATGACTCACTGTGACCCGTTTCCCTTCACGTGACGGCCTCCGTGGCACCGCATGGCTTTTTTTATCAAACTTGCAAAAGGCTTTTGATTAAAGTCAATAAGTATTCAACCGTTTAAAGAAACATCCACCTTATTCAATTTGACAGAGCCTTTTGTCTGGTGTGAGTTTTACTAATTAACACACTTTCTCCTTAAAAAGCGCGCTCATGTCAAAGAATGGAAATAGAAATTCTCTCCTCGAAATCTCTGACAAGAAAGAAAACAACAAAACTTCAGACATCAACATTTTGAGCCTCTGCACAGCAACAAGTCCAGACTTTTGTATGTATTCATTTTCACTTGAATATATTGGAGTAAAAACACACTTTAATGAGAATATAAAATATTCATGGCGCACATTATATTCACACAACGTTAAACTGCCAATATAAAACTCTTTTTGTGTAGCAGTAGTTCGTTGTCTGCTTCACATTTTTCCTTGTTAGCTCACTGCTGTCTCACAAAGCCAGATCTCTATTTGGAGTGTTTGAAAAGAACATGCGCCCGCACACACACACACACACTCACACTCATATATACACACACACACACAGCTGCTATCGGAAAAGTGCAGCGTCAGGGGTCCGTTGAGGGCAGGCTCAAATCATCCTGACAGCTACCTCCTCTCCTCTTTCCTCCCAGGCTCTCTCCCTGCATTCGTCTCACCCGTCCTCACCTCTCCCGCCCCCTCACCACTGTCCAATGGACCCCATCCATCATCCTTCATCTGCTCCTGTGCCTCCCTCCCTCCCTCCTTTCCCCTCTGACTCCCTGCACGCTTGTCTCTTCATCACCTCTCCTGTTTTCCTACCACCCAATCTCTCCCTCCTAATGTCTCCCCTTCTTTTCCGTTGCTTTCCTTCCCTTCTCGGCATCTCCTGCCCTTCGTCCTCTGCCGGCGTGCCAATATTTTCAATATTCAGCATATGAGGAAAAAAGCCAAATGCCACACTCTGCGTCCCTTCCTCTCTTATCTCCTCATCTCCCTCTCCTCCCACTTGTCTCCCTTTTCAAAAATGCACATATTCTCCTCTTTATCGCTCACAGACTTCTCTCCTCAGCATATATCTGTCTTCATCCTCTCTTATCCTCCAGCCTCTGTCTATCCATCACTTAAATCCCCTTTCTATACGTCTCTCTATTATTCTCATCCTCCTCCCGACTTCCTTTACCTCATATCACACCGAGCGAGAGGCTGTCTGTAATATTAACACACACGTTCAGTATAAGGCTCACATATGCGCCGGAATAAGAGACGTGTACAAATGCACACACACACACACACACACACACAATCACAGATGTGTGATCATTTCGGGACTCTGGAATAAACTGCCAGACAGGCACACTTTCACGGTCGTGTGGCTTACACGATGAGTGTGGAGCAAAGCAGTGAGTTAAGAAGTGATTTATTCGACAGAGAAGCCGCAGACAACGATAATGGTTCCGCTAATGATTTAGACCTTGTCTTTCTGCTCCGCCTCAATCAATCATTTAACTTCACGCTGAATCTATTTGCTTCTCCCGTCGCTTCTCACTTTTCATCTTTTTTTCAATTATCGTCCCTCAGCGCCCTGCCTTCGTGCAGGTAAAGGTGAAGCTTGTAAAACACACCTGTGACGGACACAAACCGCTAGGTGAATATACGATTGTGTGCACCTATAAGAAGACCCGCGCGACCGGCGGGCACTTGGCCCAGAGGGGGGCCTGAGGTGGAGCGATGTGATGTGACACTGGCCTCAGGGCAGAAGGGGAAACAAGAGAACGTCGGGCAGGGGGGGGGAGGGGGGTCGGGGAGCGGAGAGAGGAAACAGAACCCGGTGTGACGGTGGATGCTTGGGTACCAGCTGTGGACATTCAGCAGCTGCCCGCATGTTTGAATCAACATCACGGCGACTCTAGCGGCAGGAGGGCTCCGCGTCCAGACGAGCTTCGCCCCGCACAGCGCCGACAGACGCCGCTGCTAGAAAGCTACGCGGAGACGAGGGACGAGCAGCAGCTCAGGGCGCAGATGTTCCTCACGACGCGGTTCAGATTCACGATGCATCAAACTTCTTTTTAGCTGCAAACCAAGCGTCCGTGCAGCTGCGATCACGGTCGCTACTTTCGTTGCAGGCAGATGTGTCTTTGTGATGTTTGGTTTGTTTATTTGACTCTCAGAAACTGAATGAATCCTCTGCCACGTGAAGAGCCCTCGGCTGGGTCCAAAATCACTCATTGCAAGTAGAACAGAGAAGTTATCATTTTGTTTTACACACCTGCAATCTTCAGATCAATGCAGCACATTGCATTCTGGGATGGTTAACAGAATATTGCGTACGGGACACGGACACTAGACCGCAAATAGAGACCGACTTTCACACAAACCTTTGCATTTTTGTTATGCTCTCTCATAGTTACACATACAGATAATGACGATAATATCAGTACTCTGATTTACAGACCCTCCCTGAGGCCCTGAAGGTCTGCATGATCAATGTCTGCAACTGTAATGGCTGCTTATATGTGTGTGTGTGTCTTTGAAGGACTGACCCTGATCAATGTGTGTTAAAGCCATAATGAGGAATCGATTGGTTGTCCTGGAGACTTCTGCCGGACACACGCACACACGCACACTGTGCATCTGTCTGCAGTAATAGGCGTATTACTTGATAACGGTGAAGTCAATCACTCTATTATCTGCCCCAGTGACGGACTGACCGCGGATGCTTTTCCTACACAGGTACATTAATATTGTATATACACAGCGAGGGTGAGCGAGTGGGTCATGTACCCGGAGACTAAAGCACAGCAAATTAAAACACACAATTCTAGTGGTCCCCGCACAGGTCAATGCGAAGCAAAACATTCCGCAGTGATTCACTCACTGTGGAATAAAATGGTTACTAATGAAAACAGCGGAGGCAATGCTAATTGTATGGGCTCCTAATTGATTATTCTGTGGTAATATATGCAGGATGCTGCCTTAGCTTGGATTTAGTGTGAAACACTGTGTGTGAACATTTAGAATTCTCCTTCAGACGCTAAAATGGTTACTCAAGAATGTGTAGTTGTAGTTTGAGAGTCTTTGTCTCCAGGGATGGACGTAGTATGTAAGAGAATAATATGAGCAAGTGAGAAACACCGGCAGCAGCTGCTGAACTGGATCCGGTGTCGAGCCTTGTGGGAATTACCAGCGCTGCCAGAAGCATCTCCCACCAGTCAGAGAAGACGAGTCCACCACCTCCACGTGGTTTGTGTCCGGACAGGGAGCCTAATGGTCACTAACCATTAGATCAACTCAATACGAGATCCACCAAAAGCAGAAACACACAATCGCGCACACCAACAAACACTAACACTAAAAATACATAATACAAATGAAACCAACCGTTTGTATAAACACAGCGTGTTTGCTGCACAAGGAAACGAGACCACAAAACCCATTCAGGAAAGTTTCATTTAAAAAAACTCACAATTACTGAAGCATCACTGTGTTCAAGGGACTTGAATACCTTTTATTTTTCAACACTGACACACATTACTACCAGCCTGGCTGGCAGTTGTTAGTGTTTGTGTGTGTCTGTGTGTGACGGCAGACGCTCTGTCTACCGCTAACGGCACCCCCGACGTTTGAAAGAAATGTGCAGGTGTAAGGAGACAACTTCCGACCTAAAGAGAGAGAGAGAGAACGTGTGAAAAGCAATTAAGACCAAGACAGGAGGGAGGAGGCAGGAGACAGGAGGCAGGAGACAGGAGGCAGGAGGCAGGAGGGAGGAGGGAGGAGGCAGGAGGGAGGAGGCAGGAGGTCGGAGGGATAAGGGGTGGAAGTGCATCCGTAGCAAACCTTCTCCTTGGTCCACATCAGACAGACTGAAACACCCACACACACACACACACACACACACACACACCTGAATCATGTTACACATTTTGGAACCAACATTTGCCTTTCATCATTTCTTTCATGTAAGAAAGGCAAAATCCGCTCGCACACTGCTTGTCAACAAGGGAAATCCGCAAAAAGGGTGGGAGAAACAAATTCAGACTCCGTGTCGTTCCCTGAGGCAAGTCTGAAAATAATCTCTGATTGGCTGCAGTGAAATATGTTGGGAGAGAGAGAGGGAGGGAGGGAGGGATTAAACCGTTTGTTAGAGGCTGTTTTCCTCCTACACACAGACATTTGTAGGAAACCTCGAACCCCCCCATAGATCAGTGCATGGCTACAGGCTGTGTGTTCCAACCGCTGTGTTTGTGCGTGAGACAGAGAGTGTGTGTGTCTGTGCGGGGCTCACGCTGACGTAAGAGTGACTCTGTGTGTGTGTGTGTTTGGGGCTGCAGGGAGGGAGGAAGCGACGGAGGGGACACCTGTCTCTGTCCGTCCACGGGGGGGGGGGAGTTGGCACGGCGGATGCAGTGTCATGTTCTCGCTCTCTGACTGAGTGCACTGAGTTTGAAATCTGTTCCACAACCCAAAAAACCGAGCTTTCACCTCGACAGGTGAAGCCGCCGCGGTGGAAGAATCTGAAGCAAAAGCTCACGTTTTAGTGTAAACAAGGTAAACCGAGCTTTTGGGAAATGATTATGTGAGTCTGCCAGAGTCAATGCAACTGTCAGTTTAATCTATTCATCTTTCCATCGTCCATTCATCCTCTCAGCTTCGTTAATAAAGTTGGGTTTTAAATTCAAATATTCCCAATTTCTAACATCCTCCCTCATCTCTTCTTCGTCTTCTCACCCACACATTGCCTCTCGGCCCGCTGTGTATTCTGACAGCACGCAGAGGGAGAGGGGGGGGACAGAATGAGAAAAGTCAAAGAATGATTGGGAAAGCGACAGCGTTGAAAATTAAAATACCGAAAGATAATTAGGGGAAGAGTGAGCCGGGAGGAGGAAGAAAAGCAGATCTTGTCAGGATACTCGAGTAGCCGTTAAACAAAGTTGTCATTTCACAAAAGAGGAGGCGGAAACTGTCGGCGGGATGAGGCGTTCTCTTGGGAAAATATGACAGGAACCGTGACACACACACACACACACACGCACACAGATGTGCGCACACACGCCGGTGGTGGAGTGACAGCCTGCGTCATAACTGTGGCGTTATAGTCCCACGCAAAGCAGACACAAGGCGTGGTGTGAGAGTGGGAGGTGCACGACCCGTGTGTCATGTCAGGAGCTCGCAGAATAACACGGAAACACGCCGCGCGGTGAGAATCAGCGCAGCAACGTGTCTATACACAATGTGTGTCTGCACGGCGAAGTTATCATTTGTCCCATAGAGCTACGGCGGTTCTGTTTAAGCTGCTGATGTTTTACAGTAATTTACAGTAAAAAGTCTCTCTCACGCTGTACGGTCATTTACCTCCTATTCAGGGTCCCTAAAAGTTAAGCCGCTGAACTCTGGGTTTTAGACTCAGCTGTGGTTATGGGCACATAGGATTTAAAGCTTTAATAAAGCAGCAAACACTTGTTTCTCTATTTAAAGAGTGTAGTAAAAGTTAAGGAGAGTAAAGTTGCGCGGTGCGTGTTGTAATACAACCCGGCGTGTTGATATAGCACGAGAGGCGAATCCAGTTCATAGCACCTTTAAGGGGTTTAGTGCCCAGGGAATGATTACTAATGAAAAACCAGCCTGCATAATGTGTAAAATGTGTAAAAGTGAAAGGATTAACAACCCTTTTTTATTAATCAATCAATGGGTTGCTACAGTAATGTCAGTAGTACTTACATGGAACTTCATCTGTTGAGTCCTTCTACTGAAGGTCTATGATATTTTTAAAAGTCAATAAATGTTGCACTTAAAGCATATATCTTAACTGTATGGAAAAGACAAGATTGCTTGATTGCTTTATAGAAGTGTAGAACGAGCAATATCAGAGCAATTAGAGGCCGTGTGGTCACAACTGATCGATATGTTAAAGAATCGTCCAGCATTAAGAAAGAAACCTTATTCAAATTGAAATCACTCAACTCACCGTAGCACTTTATGTCTTCTTTCGTGTCAAGTTGTTCTCTGGGAATTTCTTTCCAGGAAGCTATTTCCGAATCGGGCAGGTGTGTCTTTGGTATCCAGACACGGAGGCGACGTGGTCAGAAAACATGAAAGAAATGAGCATAAAATAGATTCAGAATTCTCCTTTAGTAGAAAAGTCACATGCTGTGTTTACGCTTTTCCGAAAGGAAATGTGAGATACTATTAAGGAAAGAAGAACTAGGTAAATACTGAAGTGACCTAAATCCACTGGATGAAGTGGAAAATGTGAATTTTTTTTCTGAGAACTGAAGGCCTTCAGGCTGAGTTACAAACATTATTGAATTAGACTCGGGCGAAGATGTAAACTAGAGTCATTTGTTCCAGTTTAATCCTTTTCTAGCATCAAAGGCTGCTCGTAGGGTGCATCCGCAGTTCAAAAAGCTCTCACACTGGTGCTGGCCCTGATGTCACACAAATCAGGGCTCAGTAATGCACAATGCACGACTTGTTTACCTATCAGTCCTTCTATTAGTACAAGCGCCGCTTTGCTTTTAGGTCATCAAACCTCTGATTCACTTTTAGAGGATGAGAAGCTTCATTTTTCTGTTGCATTTCAGAAGTTCAGTACACGTGTGACACCGAGGTTTCCTTGTGCGAGCTGAACAATCCCTTTTGTATGCATTATAATATAGTTATAATCCATAAAATGGTGTTCTGTAGACCATGACGGCAGCAGCAGTTGGGATATTCACTCGATTCCTGTGCAGTTATTGAATTTTAGAGCGGCCTCCTTTCTATTTGGCCTGGTGCAGGTGGTTCTTTTATTCTGCCCCCACCTGTGGACGGCCAATGTCTTCTGTCTTCTGCTGCATTCATTTGAATTGTAATGACGCCCGGCGCTCCTGCTGATAGTAACTGTGCTTTCACAAGTCCCTCTAGCCACGGATGGCTGCAAACAAATTTGCCCGTCGCTTCCGCTTTGTTTGCCAAAACCAATGTGATGCGCCTGCCAGGTGAAAAAACTAATAAAGAAAGCAAAAAAACAAAGAATATCTGAGGCAAAACAGCTTGAAAAGGTTTAACAATTTCCTCCTCCCCAAATTAAAGTATTGTCTCCTCTCCTTCACTAAACAACACTATATTAATTAAATGTCTGCACATCGAGCATGCACGGTATATTTAGTACTGTGCTATTGCATTTCACTGAAAATGATATTTGCTTTCACTGTTTGAACTTCCTGCAAACCTCAGCATTGTAATTAAACACAATACATTTTTTCGTATTAAATGAATCACAATGAATATTTGTATTGAGTGATATTTGTTCCTCCTCTTCAGGTACGACTATGTAGAGATCCATGACGGGAACTCAGAGTCGGCCGACCTGCTGGGGAAGCACTGCAGCAACATCGCCCCCGCGCCAATCATATCGTCGGGACCCGCCCTCCACATCAAGTTCGTGTCGGACTACGCCCACCAGGGGGCCGGCTTTTCACTGCGCTACGAAGTCTTCAAAACCGGTAATCATGATGTCGCCGCTGAACCCTTTCCAGGTCCAACACGACCGGTGATATTGTGTCGTCCACGCTCACCTCGATGAGAGCGACAAACCGCCGTGTGTCCGTGATGTTGTAGTTGCTGAGCTCCGTGTGAAAGTGCGCCATCAACAACACACCTTTTAAAACCTGTGTTGAAAAGTTGTCTGTTTGCGCTTCAACGAAGGTGAACAGCATCTTAGAAGCACCTTCGGGTTGCACCTTCACCTTCAGGCTATTAGTGAGTGTATTACAAGCGACTCATGGAGGACTGAAGCACGCTTCATTAGGTGGCCGAGCCTCGTTTGTCTGCCTGCTGTCATGGGAGACGGAGAGACAAGACACGAGAGACACAGCAGAGGACCCCTGAGAGCCCTTCAGACTGTCCAGGCGAGACATTTCTCCCCTTTATGGAACTTTGTGTGTGTGTGTGTGTCTGTGCGTGACACGGCTCCCCTTCACGCTGCCATGGGTCAGACAAAGTGAGACCAATTGAGATCAAGGGCAACTGAGACAGAGGGGCGCATAGTGTCGGCCCCACAGCCATCTTGTCCCGTTCCCCCTGAAAGCATTCCACACATACCCTCTTAATTGAGTCCTGAGCCCTGTTCCCTTGAGACGCGCACACACACACACACACGCGCGCGCGCACGCACACACGCACTGGGGGTTGAGGTTACTAACACAACACGTGCGGTTGTCGGTGTTTCTCGCTCTGGCACCAGCCTTTTGGGATTTCCAATGTGTGTGTCTGTGTGTGTGTGTGTGTGTTTCTTTGTGCCTGACACAGTCACCCGATGGACTTGAAAACAACAAGGGTGTCAGCATTCACACCCGAGAGAGGGAATCAATTCATGGATCGAACGTGAAAGATGTTTCCTGGGAAGCTTCCGGATGAAGTCTCCAAAAAGCAGATTCCTGCTGTTTATCTAAATGCCACGTGTGACACTTTCACAAAAGAAGTGCAGGTTGTGAGTTGCAAATCCAACACTCAACCGAGATTGAAGCAGGAAAAATGACTGCGTTGGAATTACACTGACTTGAATTCAAGGCCACAGCTTCCTAAGAGCTTGATTATCTGCGCGATGACGTTATTGGTTCCCGGCCTGGTTAAGTTTAATAGAGATACATGGTGGTTTTGGCTGAGACTTTATTAACTGTGGTCATTTATCAAAAAAACAAAACAGAGCACAAGGCACCCGTATTGAATACGAACCATCATCTCGTGCCGGAGGCCACTAGAGGACTTTGTCACTTGAATGTGGACAGATGCTCTTTTGGAGCATGAGCCAAATTCTAAAAGGAGGGAATCCCACTTTTTTTTAATTTTATTTTTTTACATGAACTACATACAGACGGGATCTCTGGTTGTAAAAGCTGCTTAGATTGATAAACTACACACTAGCACATACTGGACTTCCTCTAGTTTGTCTGTTTGTGTGACTTTGTGTTAGTGTGTACGTGTGTATTTTCCCTGCCCAGCAATCCCTGGCAGTAATAATGGAGACATTTGGAGCATGCAAGCTGTTGCCATACTGTTAACAAGATCCTGTTACCCTGGAAGGTGCAGCAGAACGGCTGGTCATGTGGGTGACTAGATAGCTCTTGTGCGCTTGTCAGGCTCTGTGTGTGTGTGTGTGTGTGTGTGTGTGTAGGTTCTGTTTAGCCTTACGGTAAACTGTCTAAATATGTACCTATCCGTGCCACCCATGCACATTCTGTTCTGGTTAACCTCAGTCTCTCCTCGTGAACACCGTGAGAGAGGAACATAAAGACGAATCTGTCATTTTGGTAACATTGTCAAATAAATTTTTTATGGCTCTTTGCTGTTTTATCTCTCAGAAAATAGAAAAATACAGCTCGGGGTGAAAATAGTCCACGTATTAATTTGTAGGGATAATTTAGTGGATTCGTTTGACTTTTCTCCACATTTTGCTCTTAAATCTGTGATACTAGAAGCCTGTTTTGAGCTTCGGCCAGAAGGCTCTTTTTCACTTGAGTGTTTTCTTGGGACAGGAAACAAAGTGTATGTAAAATGTTTGACAATTATTTCAAACAAAGCAAAACATTTTGAGCTCTGATAGTGGTTAATCCCCACTCCCCTATTCTTTGACTAGTGAGAATGGTGTGTGTGTGTTGTGTGTGTGTGTGTGTGTGTGTGTGTGTGTGTGTGTGTGTGTGTGTGTGTGTGAGGAGTGTCCTAATTACTGTACCCTCTCAAATATGAACAGTCTGGACTGACACACATCCAATAATAATAAAACACATTAACCCGAAACTCAAAAGCATCCATGTGAATTGTGTCCATCACACGGTCACATTTAAAATGAAAGTAATTGACATCAAAATGACACAGACTCGGGCGAAAGCAAAAAAAAAAAAAATGCTAAAAGAGAAAAATACAAAAACAAACTTGTTTTTGTTTACCGCTCTGTCTCTATGGATACTGTAGTAAAACGGCAGCCAATAGGAGCACAGGCACCAGAATGCGGCGACCAATCAGCACTCATTGTCTAGGCAGTGTGCCCCCAGCTGTTATGGTGACCCAGAACTCTCCAGACACACACACACACACACACACACACGTGAATGCATGATGCAGGCTGGACGGTGACTCACAAATGCAGGGCAGCTTGTCTGCACGCACACATTCCCTCACTAACACACTCACGCCACCTATTTGTGTCCCTTATGAGGACATTTCATCAACATGCATCCATTCCCGGGACACCTTTAACCACCAACCCACCAACCCCAGGCCCGAAACGCAACCGTAACCAGAAAACTAATCCCAGCCTCCCGATATTAACTTTTTACCCCGCGAGCTTTTGACCCGAATGAGAAGGGACTCCCCGCAGTGCGAACACATTTCGGTGAGCAAAACACAGACACACAATCCTCAGGCGGCGTAGAAGTGGAAGCCATCGTGACAATCCTTCCAATAACTGCCGCTGTTTACGTTCCACCAAATACCTCGAGGCACTTCCTCTCTGCCTCCGTCCGACGACACGTCAACTCGGCTTATTACACATTTCGACCAATCAGATCGCTCGCTGCTGCCTCCTCCGGCTTCCATTGAGGAAAGCGGCTCCAGAGCTGACGATTTTAAACATCTTCACTATCACAGGGCTGTTTGAAGGGTATTGGCACCTACAATGGCAGCGACTAATGAGACTTCAGAATGGAAGGTGGCAGATGTTTCTAGAATATGTACCTTTAATTGGTTATTTTCAAAATACTAGAAAGAAGCAGACAGTTTGTTTGGGTCATGGCAGACGGTGTTTTCCAACATGTCAAACTCATTTTCACGACTTCAGTCATTTAGAAATGTTGCGTCGGAGCATTTAGCAAATTGTATTAAAATCAGCCAATGGGGTGGTTTTCTTGTGACATCCTGATTTCATGTTATCGGTAATTTGGTTAAATAGGAAAGTTATTGTGCAGGGAAATCCCTGCTGTGATCATGTGACGGAGGCCGAGATGCAGCGCCGGAATGTCGCAACGTAAAATCCCCAAATGAAGTGACGCTGAGTGACAATCAAACCGTACACAAACCAAGCTGTGGTCTGAAGGATCTGTGGAGCTGTGTGTGTGGGCCTGAGGTGTGTGTGTGTGTGTGTGTGTGTCGGTGTTTATGTAAAGTCCCCTCTAAATGTGCACTAATGTGTTTGTGTGTGTTAACTCAACCTGGAGTGAAGGGGGAATAATTGTGGGTTTCGTTCGGGGTAATAGCCCACTGGTATGAAAGACAGCTTACCGTACGCGCACACCTGCGTGGAGGAAATGGACAAAAATGCATCCTCGCCATACAAACCCATACAAACTGACAGGACTTGTCCCGTCTACCCAAAATCAGTGAACCAGAAGCACCAGCGCCAGATCTACCCGGCAACACACACACACACACGCTTCCTCTAACCTCATACCCCACAGTGAAACACGTGTTTCTTTCACACTCATCCAATTCAAACGGATGGGAAGTGAGGAGAAAAGAATAGGAAATGAGACACGGGGACGATGGAGCCGAGGAAGATGAAAAGATTTATAGGACGAGGGTGGAAAAAAGAACAGCAGGGGAGGAGAGTGAAAGAAAGGAGCGAAGAGAAAAGGCGAGACGCGGGAGACACACGGTTCTAAAGAGGGAGGGGGGGGGGGGGGTGGACGAGGGGGAGATGGACGAGCGGAGACAAAATTCATAGAAAACAGACAGATGAACGTACAGCAGAAGAGAGTAGAAGGCGTTTTGAATAGTATTAAACTGATTTTAGGTACGTTCCTTGTGGGGTTTTAGTATCATTAAATGGCAGAGAGGAGGGACGAGGTGGAGGGAGAAGGAGGAGGGACAGAAAGAGAAAGGAGGGCACAAGTGTTTTTGCAATGTTCATGAACATGAAGTAATGAGAAGGGAAAAATAGCTGTAGGCAACACAACTGGTCAGGCGTGCACTTTAAACAGACCCACACTCACAGACTCACTCATAGTCTCTCAGGCCGACGTTATCCAGCTACTGGCTCTACACGGGGGGAGGGGGGGGCGGGGGGGGAGAGGGGGAGGGACACAAGGGGAACCCGGCGAGATACAGTTCGTTGTATCTGGAATCATTGCAAGGGGGAGACGTTCACACAAAGCAGTAGAAAGTGGGACAGGACGACATGGATTCATGGAGACAAACTGGCCTCACACTAAAAATAGATTACAGGTTTCAGTGGTAAATATATCTTCACATTTACCACAACATTTGTAAGCTATTTTTGGTGTTTTTTAATTTTGTTAATTGCAACCATACTTTCAGGAAACAAAATGATAAATATTGGCATATTTCCTTGCGCAGAGGCGAAGCTCCTGCACGCGTGTGTCTAACAACCATGATCGCTGCCAAAACTCGCCAGTTTGTTGCCTAATCTCATTAGTGCCATTGCCCATAGCCAAATACCCATAAATCAGGGTAATATAATTATAGAAATCCTAAAAAGGGCATTTTTAGTTGCAATTATGAGCATGAAGCAGAAGCCGCGCGGCATAAACGTGAGACGGATGGAAACGGTCTGACGGTTTCGAGCATATCTGACGTAGACTTCTCTTTACAAATTCTTAAAAGTGTACATGGACACGCGCACACGTGTCTAAATGCACTTTACATGCGAGAACACACACACACACACACTCTCTCCTAATGTGTTTCTCTTCACTTTACTTTCATTTACTCATACAAGCACGCATGCACAGCAGCAGACAGTCCAACAGACTGGAGGGAAATGGGTTACTGTAAGAAGCTTAGTCAGTGTGCGTGTGTGTGTGCGTGTGTGTGTGCGTGTGTGTCGGGGTGATGGTTGTACACGGCTGGGTGGACTGGGATAATAGAGAGCACATCCACTCTGTGACTCGATATTAACAGAGAGGCTATTACAGACATTCAGAAAGGAAGAGACGCAGATTACCCCTCAGATCACCGTGTGTGTGTGTTTGTGTGCGCACGTGTGTGTCTGTGTGCGCGTATGGTGGCATCTAATGCTTCTGATAACTGTTGGTCAGTTGCTCAGTTCGATTTCCCACTTTTTCTCTTTCTCTGTCCGTAAGATTGTCTGGAAATACTCAAAGAGTAAATCACATCAATCACTATTTACCTCAAAACAGCGATTTGTGTCTTTTTTTAAACTCTAAGATCTCTTGAGGTCGTCCTTGTATCGTCCCAGGTTGCTCGTAGGATGCAGCATCTCGCAGAAGTGCACTTAATATACACCAGCAGATGCATTTTTCTGTCATGGACATCCAGACCTTCCTGGCACTCATCCCTCTGAAGTGTTGCCCTCTCGCTCTCATGCATCTTTTATCTTTTACAGCGGTTGTAATATTCCTTCTGTGTCTGCGTCACAGGCTCGGACTGCTCCCGTAACTTCACCAGTCCCACCGGCCTCATCGAGTCCCCGGGCTTCCCCGACAAGTACCCCCACAACCTGGAGTGCTCCTTCATCGTCATCGTCCCCCCCAGCATGGACGTGACCCTGGCCTTCCTCACCTTTGACCTGGAGAACGACCCCCTGCCGGGCGGGGAGGGGGACTGCAAGTACGACTGGCTGGAAGTGTGGGACGGGCTCCCGGGAGGTGAGACATGGACGGGTTTTAGGCGATGGATTCGCTCGTCGAATCTCGGAGCCGATTTTAAAACGGCGCGCATCTCGCCCCGCCTGCACCGCTATTGACCGAGCCGGAGCCGCAACTATTTCAGTAGCCGTGTGTCGGATGAAAGCGGAGCTTACGGGGCAGGAAGTTGGCACCTGCTGTGGAGAAACAGCACGTTGTTTGAAAGGGGAAAATAAAACAGGAGCTGCCGAGAGGAGGGAGAGATGGGGCGAGGTGAGAGGAGGAACCGTATGTATTTCTGGTGTAGCTCCTAGAAGGCCTGGGAGATTTAGGAAGAACAAATCTAAGGCGCAGAGAGCCTGGATCTAGTTTCAAGAGATGGAAGAAGGTAGAGAGAAGAAGAAGCGCAGTGGAAGGGCAGGAAGAGGTCGGGTGGGCTCGCACGAAGGAGTTGAGATGAAGGCCAGAAGAGCACTGTGAAAAAAAGAGTGTGCGAGTATGAAGATTTGTGGGGAGTTGAAGCTGGAAAGGACCAGGGAGGAAGGTTTGATTTGGAAAACAAATATACTATATATATATATACATCTTTGTTACTATTCATGACAAAGATGGCAAAGTCCAAAAAGAAAAATTAAGATGACCAAAAAAATTGGAGTAAAAGAAAAAGAGAAGGTGAAAGTCTGTACGACTTGACGGAGACTACAAGAGGGAAAGCAGGATGAAAGGAAAGGAAGCGAAGTAAAATGAAGTGGGAGGAGGTTGAAAGGGAAGGAAACATTCTGAATGGGATTGAGAGGTGAAGGACCGCTGCCGGAGTGTCCTGAGCAGGAAGAGAGGACGAGTAGAAAAACAAACCAGGACCAAGAGCCCGCCGTGTTTGTTTCCTGCAGGGTTCCAATGTGTGTAACTGCTGACGCTTTATTTGCGTTTTGCTCCCATGTGAGTGGGTCTGTATTGAATGCTTGCACTTATTCCCGTCCAATCGTTGTGTGTCTGTCTGTGTGTTACATGCAGTATTGTATCTCCTGGGTGCAGGAAAGGGACAAATGTTTTTTTTTTTTTTAGAATTTTAGAAGGTGCTGAAGTTTTATTTATGGGAGGAAGAGAAATTCAACCATTCTTGCCTGAAAAAACAGAAACGTTCAAAATAAATAATATATATATTCAATTTGGTGGCCCGGATATTTATGCAAACATGGGTCATTTTATTTTTAGAAATCATCTCTGTGGATTTGAGATTCTCTTACGCTTTTTTTCTCCCTTTATCCTTTAAACATTATTACCGTTGTTTTCGCAAGAGCCGGATTTCAAATATCCAACGATTGCAAAAGAGAACAAAAAAAGAGAAATCAATGGCACTGATCGATTGTCGGCTATTTTCTTCCCCTTCCTCCCCCGCAAGCCGCCTTGCGTACAGTATGTGTGTGTTTGTGAAGAGGTGGGGGGGGGGGGGGGGTCAGGGCGTAACAATATAAATTAACTCCCACCCACCCATCCACACACACACACACACACACACACATAGACACACACACACACACACACACCCCGGGGCTCTAAATCACACTCATCTGTTTGTGTCGACATATACAAGTCGTGGTATTAGAGAAGAGGACAGTAGGATTTATACACGCACACACGTACACACATAAGTTGTACACGTTGTAGCACCACATCCAGTCCCGGGATAGAGCTGAAGGGTGGAGGGAGGAGAGGCGCTGACATGAGAGGGTGGAGTTACGAGCAGACGTCGGAAGAGGCCGGACTGATGAACGACAACGGCAGAAAGAAAAAGACAACGCAAGTAGCAAAGGATAGAGGGGGAAACAAACAATGTGAGGATTAAGGGATGAAGGGATTGTTAAAGGAACGAAACAAATATTAAATCATCTCGACGCGGAGCACGGAGGCCTATAACATACGACGCGATGACAGAATGTTGACCGGCGGATGATCTAATACCTCTCGTTTGATCAACAGTGGGCCCTCTGATTGGTCGGTACTGCGGGACCAGGGTGCCCCCCGAGATCCAATCGTCTACCGGGATTCTCTCCCTGTCCTTCCACACGGACATGGCCGTGGCCAAAGACGGCTTCTCGGCTCGCTACAACATGACGCACAAGGAAGTCAGTGAGAGTAAGTACCGTAGTAGTGCGCTTAATAAATCATTAATAAGTTAATAAAATGCAGCGACTGGTTTAACCCTGTTTTCCTGTTGTCTCCTTGTAGCTTTCCACTGTAGTAATGCCTTCGGCATGGAGTCAGGGAAGATCACAGATGACCAGATCACGGCCTCGTCGAGTTTCTACGATGAACACTGGTTGCCACGACAGGCACGACTCAATTACCATGACAACGGATGGACTCCCAACGAAGACAGCAACAAGGAATTTGTGCAGGTACGAGTTTAGCCACCTGGGGCCGTGGTGCAATTCATTCATAGATCTTTTGGGTCCATTGGTAAGGTCTCCTCAGAAATGATATTATTATATATAATGAGGAATGCAATGAGGAAACTACTACTATATCCCTTAGGTCACAAACTGTAAATGTGAATCGGGTTCACCTCGGCCGGTCTAAAGTGTCCAGGTAGTTTCAGGTAGTTTAAGATGGTTACTGATGAGTACAACAGTTAACGGATCAGAGTGTCGCCAGGGATGGTGAAAAGCAAAAAAGGATTTAATGATACATAGAATTTATGTCAAGGCTACTAGATTAAATATCTACGTTGTGAGCCGTTTTCCTTCCTGAAATACAGGATCGTACACTTGAAAAATTGTTCTCTGGCGAAACTAAAAACAGTTTGCACTCCCATTTTAATCGCTTTTTTTTTTTTTTTTTTTGCGTTGACATGTCACACATAATAACTCCACCGCAGCTATATCCGTGTCAGCGAGTGTGTGGGAGCGAGCGAGTGCAAGCGAGCGAGTGGGCGGGAGATGAAGTGATATCGAGGTTCAGCGGCTAGGTGCCCGGCTAAAGCATTGTTTCCCGTGTTTCGTCACAGTGCCAACTTCCTGCCATCCGTGTGCCAGGTGTGAGTTATGAGGCTGCCCGGGTGAGAGGCTAAAGGGAGGCTGAGGTTTACTCACCCCTCAGACACAAATGCATTCAAACCAGCCTGCGAGGCGCCTGCGATAAACAACAGATTATCTTGTCGGGTGTCACCTTCTTGTAGCCCGCAGGCTTTGTGCTTCACTCATTGTCGGCGGGCTTTTTTGGAACAGGCGCAATCTCACGCCTGATTTCCCTTCCTTAAGGTCATCGGTTTGGACCCTAACCCAACGTCAGATGCGGCCTTTGTCTGTTTCTTATGGGAGGCCAGCTGCTCGACTCCCGACGCACAATCACACCTCAGAAAAAAACTCACAAAGAATTAGGCTTTCTTTTGCACGGCTGACATACAGTATTCCATCCGCTCTAAAGCCCGCGATTGCGCACCCCGAGGTGTGTTCAGCGAGTAAAGGAAGCCAGTGACGGATCCGTGTTTTAGCTTAAAGACACAGGAAGCAGGTTAGCGCCTCGACTGTGAACACGTAGAAACGGGGACACAATCACAGACGCGTTTGGAGTAGAATCAGCAGTTCTGATTGTCGGAGCTCTACCGAGGCCAAACTCTGGCCCGTCAGACACAGGAAGGGACCCTGGCCAAGGACCAGCGTGAAGGTCCCATCAGTCTCTTCCTTCCTGTTCCACCTCGACGGGCAGCTGACAGCTCCCTCGCTAAATTGGCCGACGTTAAGAGAATCAACGCAAATCCCCTGAAAGATATATTTTTCTTTAACTTTTTAAAGTCCATGTAAGCTCCTGGACCCCTGGATTGCAAATTATTGTTGTGTGCCGTGTGCGATCTCTGCGTGGAATAACTTTGAGGAGAAGTCTCCGCTCGTCCCCGTGCCGTCTCCCCTCCGGTCACCGGCGATGTGGTCGGGTTGCCGCGTTCCTCAGAGGCTCTCAGCTGTTCCCCTGCGTTAACACTTTGCAAAGACCGAGACCCGTCCACGCCTGTGTGTGTGTGTGTGTGTGCGTGCAAGTGTGCGTGTTTGTCCATAGGTATGTGATGCATATGTGCGTGTGCAACCTCCTGTCTTGACAAGCAGCTGTCATGAATGCCAACATGCCTCTCCTTCTGCATCCAGCAGCCTGTGGTCTCTTTCAACCGAGTGTGCGCTCGCGGTCTTCATGCGTGTCTGCGCGAGTGTGTTTGATTTTGTGTGTCGGTTGCCCACGCAGCTAAGGCATGTGTGTGTTGCTATGTTGGCTCAAGAGCCACGTGTGTCATTTGGATCTCTCTCGGCGCACACCGATGGGGCATTCTGGGATTCTATTCTATCGTATTCTATTCTAGTCTGTTCTTTTTTATTCTATTCTCTTCTATTCTATCCTAGTCTAGTCTGTCCTTTTATATTCTATTCTAGTGTGTTCTATTCTATCCTATCCTGATGATGTTCCATTCGGTTCTCTGCTATTGTTATCTCTTCTATTCTATTCTACTCTATGCTGGGTTGGTCCAGCGAGGTGTGGTGCAGATTGATGATGTGAGCTCTGGTGGCTCTGTTTTTTCCAACAACTCTGTGATTGATGACAGGCCTTCCCGAGGAAGGCTCACTTAGCATCTCTCTCCCTCTCTCTCTCTCTCTCTCTCCCCCTCCCTCTCTCTCCCTCTCTCTCCCTCTCTCTCCCTTTTTCATTCATTCTTCACTTCCTTCTATTCCCTTGATCTCTCTCTCTCTCTCTCTCTCTCCTATTTCCCTTACTCCGCACCCCTCTTCTTCACCCTCTCCTTGGTCGCGGACTATCGATTAGTTGTCTTGGTGGATCCCTGACTGGTCCTAAGCGGGGAGGCATGTGTGTGTGTGTGTGTGTTGGAAGTAATCTAAAACACCTGTCTCTCTGACAGATAACAAACGCAGCATTTTACCTCCCCCGGTGTTTTGTACAACTGTATCCCCCAGTGGGAGGCACACACACACATATAACACAACAAGTTCTGATTAATCTACAGGTTTCAACAGCGCCATTGGAGGGGAATGAATGTTACAACCTACAGTAGAGCCTTTCTCATTTTCTCTTCTTTATTTTGCCTGCAGCGTCTCTTTGTCTCTCTTCGACAGAACGTAACGTATGAAAACGGAGAGTTTAAACGGTCGTAGTTGGACCGAGGTTACAAATAGATTGTGCTTTGTATTAGAACAGTAATAAGCCTGCGTTCAGCGCACAATGATGTTTATGTACAATGCAACACTGCCAGCAGCATGCCAGACACCGGGCGGAGCATCCGGAATCAGGCTGCGGCGGTGATTAGGGCTATTGTATGGAGGGAAATTAAAATGAGCCCCAGGTCGTTACTATCGATCTGCCCGGAGAGAGGCGACGTAGAGCGGTGAGGTGGAGAGATGGATGCTGATAAGTTCAGGTGTATATTTGTGTCTTTCTTTAACCCATTTAACGTTGTAAGAGCTGCAGGGCCGTTTTGTCGCACGTATGACTCGGATAAGAATCATTTGGATCAGGGAAGAACGGAGAATATGGTTCAGTTCTCAGCCGGTTTGCATCCTGGAAAATTTTGGTTCATCATTTGTTGAAACTCCCTCTGTCCTTCCTGCCAACAGGTGGACCTCCACACTCTGAAGGTACTCACCGGCATCGCCACCCAGGGCGCCGTTTCGAAGGAAACTCAAAAGACTTACCACGTCACCACCTTCAAGCTGGAGGTCAGCACCAACGGAGAGGACTGGATGGTCTACAGACACGGCAAGAATCACAAGGTGGGCACCAAAAAGCCTCGACGTGCACGTGCACGAACACACATTCCTGAGGTAAAGCATGTGCGGCACCACTCGACCACAACCCGGCGTCTGCGATTACCTCCACTGCTGCTCAGTGGGCTCCATTTAAGGGTTTACGATCGAGGCAGAATCAGCTCCCGAGGTGAAGCCTACGTGGTAGAGCGCCGCCGTAGGTGCAGCAGGCTGCTTTCCGCATCCCATCTGGTTGCCGTTACTCGCCGGTCAGAGTTCTGCCGAATGTCGACCCGGTTGGACAGGTTTCCAGGCTTTTTTTTTTCCCCTACCCCAGTGGTGTTAAAGCACGATGAATCATCAGTGGGAGGGGGGCACGGTAGAAAACGAAGCCGACGGTATCGAGGGTCTTGGAAATGGTTGCAACTGCAATTAAAGTAGAGGAGCGTTCCAGCGGTTGTGGCTGTTTTTTCCATCACGGCCGCGCTCCCACCGCTATAGCGGTCACACATGTTTGTCCTGCAGGCGAACAGCACGTCTAGCTGTGTGCTATAAACCCACTAATACATGCACGCACACTCGCAGACGCACACAGGCAGCGCAGTGCAAATGCCTCTCATGCTACAGAAGGAAAAAGGAGATTCAGAGCAACCATCTGGGGTTCCTCTGTGGACTGCAGATTCCATGAGACCTATGGATGTAGTTCCCCCCCCCGGAGAAATGATGGATGCGACACACGGAGTGGTGGAGAAAGACAGTCTGGGTAAAAATAAAAACATTTATTGTGGAGAGAAAAGATGAGGACGAGGAGGTTTTTTTAATTGGGTTAAACGGTGCACAATGAACCAACGTCATCAATCAGCTCACCATCAACGGTCACTTGTATAGACAGTGAAATAGCGTCATACTACTTGCAATGAAAATCAAACACTATAATTACCACTGATCATATTAAAGATGATGGTTTGAGGTCAGATGGTAATAATCCCTTTCGCTGCCCCCGTAACTCTGGAAAGCTGCGTTCAGGGTTGAATTAATATGGGAAGGACAGTGTGTGCGTTTGTAGAAGACCCCTCCCTTGTCACAGTAACAGACACACGGACAGACGCACATATTCACATCCTCAAACCAACGGCCTATCGAGTTGAAGGTGCTGTGTAAAGGTAGAGCAGAGAGTGATGGTCCTCTATGGTGGCGTGAGCGTCCCGGGGGCCACGTTGTAGCTGACACACCAATCGGCAACTCCGATCCTTCTCAACCGTCTGCCTTTTATGTTAGAAAGACATATAAATAAGTCTGCAGCCAGTGGCCAAGAAGAGTGTTTTATGGTCGTGTAAAATGCATCCACAGCGTGATCCAGGGAAAGAGGTTTTTATGATTGGACACAGATCCTAGATCAGTTCATTCAGGGATCAGCTCCAAGCAACGGGAACTACTTAAATGTATTACTTCTTTCCAGAGTACAGCAGCTTTTCTACCGACGCGAGGGGGGGGGGGGACATGTGCGAGTGCCTCGACTCCTCTCTCCTTAACTCGCTGAACCTCCATTCATCTCTCACCTGACATCTTCACTCGCTCACCTCTTCACTAGTTCCCCTTTGTCACTCTGTCATCCATCAAATCCTCCCTCCGTGTCCGCGGTTCACATCTCCATCCACCGTAATCCTCCACCCTTGCGCTCTTTTCGATTCCCTCTTTTTGCCTCTCTCTTTCTCTCTCTCGGCACTGCGTCAGTCTTTGCCCCCCCATATGTTTCTGAGAAAGTCATCATGAGGCGGACAGGCAGGTTCATGCTGCTCAAACACATGGGGTTTTGTGCTTTACTTCAGCTCTGGTTTGGTGTGTGTTAATCTGGAAGAATTATTACAGTCGTCTTTTATGTGCAGCGGTCCTGAAAGGGGGGCAGAGATGAATGGCAGCCACATGGATATTAGGAAAAGAAACCTTTGTGCAGAGTTTACACTCTCACACACTGGTGCACCACACGACAGCGAGAAGACGCACATCTCGTTAGCGTTTGTCTCAGATGAGTAAATCTTCGATAAAACCACCGCTGTTCACGCAGAGACACGCTGACTCGTTCCAAACATCTGGGAGTCACGTGTCGCGCCACGGCCGATGATTTGTGTGATCTGCAATGTATTTGATAACCTTATTACAGGCTTGTTATGAGCCAGATGGGATATGTGGAATATATGTGAAAGTAAAGAGGTGGGTTTTGGAGGGAGGAGGATGCACACGTGCAGCTTTTCTTCCCATTTTACTGCCATTGTACTCACCATTGACAGGTACTGACTCAAAACTGTGCTTGAGAGAAAAAGGGGAAAGAAGTATGAGACACGAGGGGAATGTCAGGCAAATGTGATTACGTCAGAATCATGATTGCAGAACCAGTAGGCCGTGCTGTCTCTCTGGGATTCGCTGCGATTCTTAACCAATATCTATTTGTTTTCTTTGTCTTTTCATCCATAAATGTCTTTTCATTCCTCTGTTCCTGCTTTTAATTGGAAGCTGCCACTTCATATCCCCTCCCGGGGATCAGGTCATGTCAGATCATTTCTTACCGCTCATGGGAAATATCACGAGTGCGCCAACAGGGGAGTCTTATACAGATACGGGAATAATAAAAGATGATTAGTATAACTTTAACCATCCAGCCGTGGGCCGGCTGGGACCTGAGGTCTCGGGAGCAGACGTGATGTTGTCTTAGTTTGACCCTTTGTCTCGAGAAGCTGCAGACCTTCTGCTGGCAGAGGTACATTTAAGCACGACGTGGTACAAATGTCATTATGTAGCCCTGCGGAATTGCTGCAGGCAGAGCTGTCTGTGGCCATTACCACACTGGACCTCTGCCAAGACCAAAACCTCTTATTCCCACCTTAATCTGTGGGAGAGAGGAGGGATGGAGGGAGAGGGACAAAGGTGGGAAACGTGGGTGGAATCCGAGGGTGGGAGAGGCATCGTCATGAGAGGGCCGTGTAGGAAAGTTGTTAAGAACGAGAACAAATAAGTACAGAACCGATAGAGAAACTGAGCCGTGCCGAGGGAGGATGAAAGGTGGGAACCGATGGGGAGAAAAGCGAGGTTCGTACGAGTAAAAGTGAAAGGAGGAAAGAAGCGGGGGGGGTTGGGGGGGGGTGAGAAGCGCTCACTGGGGAACCACGGAGCAAAGAGGGATGAACGGAGGAGAGGAGGAATAATGAAAATAACAGACAAGGGTGTTGACCACAAATCCCTCTGGATAGATCAGAGGTGCCAGCAACACAGCCTGTGAGGATGTCAGGGGAGGGGAAATGAAATAAAACGACAGAGTGGGAGGAGGAGGAGGGGGGGGGGGGGGGGGGGGGTAGAGGTCAAAGGGGAGAGCGAGGAAAGAGTTTGTGACAAATTAAGAAAGTAAAGCTGGGAGGAAAAAGAGAGGAACGGGACCAGGGGGGATTTTATAATGGTGCCATGAGTCGTTTGGTTTGTAACCTGTAACTGTCACACACACGCACACACACACACACACACACGCACACACACACTTACCAGGATTTAGCTGTCAAACCCAGGTTACCTCCCCGAAGTCTGTGTGTGCATTTGTCCTTGTGTGATGAAATGAGAGGAGATGGGGGGAGGTTTACTATTTTATAACTCCAGCCACACACATACGCACGTAGCACGGACATTTAAATAATTCACCGTGCGCTGAATGACTGACTGCGGTCCTGTGGGCTCACGACAAACACACACACACACACACACACACACACACACTTGTTCTCTTCTTTCCCATGAGGTGAACATACCTCCTCATGCTCTTTTTCCATCCAATGGTTATACGTTTGGCTCGTCACCCTTTTGAGACCAGAAACGGCCACACAATGTGCGTCTTTGTGCCCTGCACACTATTGTTATTCAGCGAAGCGTGTGTGCGCGTGTAGGTGAAGAAGAAAACCATATTCAAACCATGTCCCCCACCTTTGACTTTCACTGAGAGATAAAAGTGTGTTAAATCGGAAAGATTCTCTCGCCTTGGATCGTTTTTTTAAGTGTTTGTTTGAAGTGTTTGTTTGAAGTATTTCTGCTTGTTGCATTGGCCTGTACTTGTGTGTCTGTATGTCTCTGTGTGAGTATATATATATATATGAGTGAGAGAGAGGGGGAGAGGAAAAGAGAGGTGTAAAGTTAAGCGTCTGCCCTCCTCCTGCCCTCCCACGGTTGCTGGTGTCAGCTTGCCTTGTCTCACAATCTCGGGCCCCAAAAACGCACACACCAACACACACAAAAATAACCCGAGCCCGGCCGCAGGTGCACCGTTCCTTAGAATGATTGTCGCGCGGCCTTTTTGGAAACACGCAAGGTTGCCGAATCCCGGACGGCGTGTTTTTTTCCGCTAAAAGGAGGATTGCCTCCGCGCTGTTCTCAACATGGCGTCCAGAAGCTAACAATCACAGCAGCGCACACAACACACCTGGCGCAGCTCCCGCTGTCAACCTGGGAGGGAGCCAGCGGGCGGCCGCTAAGCTCACCCGCCGACAGCGGCTGTCAGTTGTTATCGGTTGTAGCCGGCGTATTAGCGCAGTGCCGCGGGTCAGTGATTAGTTGGGGGGGGGGCACCGGGGCGCCGGGCGCACGGGCACCGAAATGCCGTCAACTCACCGTGAAAGGAGCTGAAGCACAGTAGCCGCTCTGTTTGCTGGTGAAAGAGAAATGTACTCCAGATGTGTCCATAAACAGCGTACACACACAACAGCTGGTAAAGGACACACAGAGGCCGCACGAAGACCTTTTGGGTGTACACACACACACATCGTGCTAAGGAAAAGTTTCGGTGCGCACCGAGGGAAATTAGAACGCGCCCGCCAGCCCCCGACTCCTCAGAGTGAGACTTCATAATTACACGTTTACGCGCCGACGCGCTCACGCACACGCGCACACGCACCGCGCTGTAATTACACACCACCGCCACGATTCCATTAAGTCTTTCGGGGGCCTTCGGGCGTTTTTCCATCATTTAACTGGTCACAGCCATTGCCGGGGCGTTAGTTCACTGCATCTGCCTTTGTGTCGTACACACAGCGGGTCGCGGGTTCAATCCCCAGCCGGCCCGGCTACCGTTCCTTTCATCCACATTGTGTCGGCCCTGACAGGCCGGGCTGTTTAATGGACCGGGACCAGTGGATTGACACACACACACACACACACACTCCAAAAACAAAGCGAACATCTATAAATGACTTCCCAAGTAATTGCGAGGCCTTTGGCTCTGTGTGTAATAAACACACTGGGTTGTGTTTTCACCACTGATGTAACATAATGGAAACAGTGTTAAGGACACAGAGGGGGGAAAAACGCCTTTGAGGTTCATGAGGGAAACAACAGGATATGTATTTTTTTTTCTTAGATTTGCTGTAGGACAGCATCATGGCAGAGAGAGAGAGAGAGAGAGGCCTGTGTGACTTAGATGTGAAGTGTTGCTGTCAAGAGACGGGTTTTGCTGCTTCCATTTGGTTTTCTTTTTAACTGTGTTTGTGTGTGTTTTCAGAGGAAATGACTGTTGGAGCTCAGAGGGCCCTTTTTAAGAACGTGTGTGTTCTGTAACATGTCTGTGTGTGTGCGTTGAGGGGCGACAGCATCTTTGCTCTCTGTGCGTTAGTGTAGATGATGTTTTCCTGGTTGTGTGTGTGCGTGTGTGTGTGTACACGCGTTTGTGTGTTTATGTGTGGTTAAGTCAAAGGGCTGTGAGAAGAGGATGCTCTCCCACATACTTGATTTATAACGCAGTGCATCCCCTCAGACTGTACGTCTGTGTGCGAGTGTGCTAGAAAACATTTACCCCCATTTCTTCCTCTGTGGACAGAAGCAATAAATTCACCGTGTGTGTTTGTTTATGTCGCATATGTGTGCTTGTGTGTGTGCATGTGTGTGCGTGTGTGTGCGTGTGTGCACTGTTGGAGTCCTACTGTGGGAACTGTCGACCATAAAAATACTTTGGGGCCGTCCCATTGTTACATTTCTGTCCATGCACGGGTTTCCCCGTCAGCTGTTTAATATTTTTCTTTCTCCGCGCAGGTTTTCCACGCCAACACCGACGCCACGGAAGTGGTTCTCAACCGGATCCCGCAGCCCGTCCTCGCCCGCTTCGTGAGGGTCCGCCCTCAGACCTGGAAGAACGGCATCGCGCTGCGGTTCGAGCTCTACGGCTGTCAGATCACCGGTGAGAAGCGGGTGACGCGTAGCTTTTTTACGCCGGGTCACAAGGCGGGTCAAGTTCGGAAAAAGAACGAGCGGGCAAACGCAAAATGATCTTTTTTTTTTTTTCCTACTTCTCGTTTGTACAAGCAAATGATAAACAATTTCCGACCGTGTTAATCAATCCAATGCCTCTGTTCCTCTCTGTATTTCACATGCACGCCACACGCCCACTCACGCTGTTACACATACATATCCTCCCTCTCACTTTCCCACTCGCACACAAAAAGAAACACACTGAGTCCTAATAGAATAATACCAGTGTGATGTGTGGGTGATAACATCAGAGACGGGCTCTCAGCTTTCATCTGCAGCCCCGGCAAACAAACACGATTTCAACCAGCATAATCAGCTCAATCCTATAAATAGATAAAACCTAATTAGACTGTTTGTGTGCGTGCTTGTGTGTCACAGAAATGGTAAAAGAGAGTGTTTCAATCCATTTGTGTGTGTGTGTGTGTGCGTGTGCGTGTGTGTGTGTGTGTGTGTGTGTGTGTGTGCGTGTGTGTGTGCGTGTGTGTGTGTTTTTTAGCTCCACTGTATCATTATTGGGTTAGAGCCTCTCTGCTGCCATGGCAGTGGTCATTGAGAGGGACAGAAATGCTCTTATCTAGGGGGGCTATTTCAGCACCAAAATAAATCACAATCACACCAAAACAATATGACGCTGCTCGTGTGTGTGTGTGTGTGTGTGTGTGTGTGTGTGTGCATGATCGAGAGAGAGAGAGAGAGAGAGAGAGAGAGAGACGAGGATGTGGCATAAATCAGCAATCTTTGCCTGGTTCCTTATCAACCACTCTTTACCTTTTTTTAACACCTTAAATAGCACCATATATCAGCATAACTTTCTCACCTCGCCCACCTACGCGTCTTTCGGGCGTTCCTGTTTCCCTGCGTGATTCCGACGTGCACGCTGCCGGGAGGATGTGGCAATGCCCCCGCGCCGGCCCATAAAGGCAACATAAAGCATTCAGTCAGTGACACGTCATTAACTTAAATCACACTTTTATGTCTCTCTACTTCTTCCTCGCTTTCTACCGATCCCTCTTCAATGTCCTTTGTTTTCTCCTCCCTCTCATTTCTCCTCCGTCCTTCTATTGCCTCCTGCTGACAGCTTCCATTCCCACCTTTCTCTCCCTCTCCCTCGTTCTCTCCCTTGAACCCCCCTCCCTGTCCCTTCCTCGTTCTGCTTTGTTCCTCCATCCTTCCGTCTCCCCTTCCTTAAATCTCGCTTCATTTGAGCCCTGCAGCACCTATCAATCATTTATTTTTAGCACCTTTATTGTTTTTCTCCGCAGGCTTATGCATCGTACGTGTTCGTGAAAGCTATACGTATGCCTCTGTGTGTGTAGGTGTGTGTGTATCGGTGAGGTAGAGCACTCACTGGTGTACTTTACTGCTTTTGTAGAGACCCTCAGCGTGTGTGTGTGTGTGTGGGCTAAACATCAGAGCGCGAGAGACCTCGTCTATTCAACTTCTATGCGCTGGTGCATGCATCACTGTGTGTGTGTTTGTGTACATATGTGTGTGTGCGAGAGCTTCGAGAGCTCTCATGCCCGTGTGTGATATCCAACTATTTCTGCTCCTGTGATCTCCAGAGATGATACTCTCATCGACTCCCGCTGCAAAAAACAAAAACCTGCTGGAGTGCCACTGCTTAAAATAGAGTAAAATAAAAGCACAGAGCTGCAATAGATGCGGTAATAAAATGTTCTTCCGTTGAGCTCGGCTGTTCTTGCTGATTCATTATCTAGCGTACCGCGGTGCGTTTGCAGACATCACGGCGTTAGACACTCGGCGTGGGCCTGCAGTCACCGCCGATCACGTCGCCCGCTGCTGTCAATCCGCTCCCTCTGTCTTCATCCCGCCGCGCTCTCTCTCTCTCTCTCTCTCTCTCTCGCTCTTTGCCGTCTTTCTATTTGACCCTTTGGATCTCCTCCTTGTCCTCTGACTGCCCTTCCTCACCTTGTATCCTTGCCTCCTCTTGCTTCCTTCATGTCGTACCTTTCTGTTTGATAAAAGGGCGACCGCACCGGAGCCACCGTCTTACAGTTGTGTTCCCTTTGTTGTTTTTTCTCATTATTCATGACAATAAGACATCGGGATGCTGGTTAGACTGAAACACATACGCAGTGTCCCTTTGATCTACAGCACACTCTCATTTGCTTCTTCCGTTTGGGACTCATGTGGCTCAATTCCCCATGTAGATTCCCCTCTGGAAGCTCGGTTAAAGTTCTGCATCAACTTTGCATCAGCGGGAAGAAAACAAATGTTGCAATGGGTCGATAGAAAGTAGCGTTTTATCAGCTCACGTTTTGCTCCAAGACGAGATCAAACGCTTGTATTAAATCATTGCTTGAATTCCACATGCTTAGTAATGAAGCAACCTTCTGTAGCTGCAAGGCAATCCAATAGACTCTAAGGGATGATAATAATACCACGCACGCCCGTTAACAGTTCTTCGATTTCTACTTTCGATGGCATTCTCTCTAATTTCATTCCACCTTTTCATATCCCAAACCTGAGCTTTAGCATTCATCACAGTGAACATTTGGTTAACATCTTGTTTCACTATAGTTTGGTGATGCTTTTACAAGTAGATAAAGCTCCAACATCGACCCTTTCATACATTTTGAACATTTTCCAACTCTGCTTTGCTCTGCATTAATATGCAATGCTTATCCCCTTGAAGCTAATACATATATACATCTTTCTGTGTGCCGCTTAGATGCACCCTGCTCGGAGCTGCAAGGCATGCTGTCTGGGCTGCTTCCAGACTCCCAGATCTCCGCCTCGTCCATGAGAGACATCCACGGCTCCATGGGGGCCGCCAGGCTGGTGGCCAGTCGGTCCGGCTGGTTTCCCAACCCGACACAACCCATCGCCGGGGAGGAGTGGCTTCAGGTAGGTCGCCTTGTCCTCGTGGATGACTTCTACGGACCAGTTGGGCTCGTTTTGCATCACCAACCGGAGTGTAGTTTGAGAAAATGGGCTCCAATGGGGATCTCTAGCAAATGTTGCTAGATGTGCATTTCGGTCAGCTTCTAATTGACCCTTTTCCACTGCAACAGTAAAATGTAATGCAAGAAGATCCCAATGCGTATCGTCCGACTGCAGAACACAAAGTGATTTGCACAGCGGACACCAACATGAGCCACCGACTACACTCGTATATAAACGACCCACTCATTGAGTTGACAACAGCAACCTGAAAAAAAAGCCTTTCTTCTTTAGCATGGCGACGTGCTCTGAGGGAAGCGGTGGTCTCCTCCGCTGCAGACAGGCAGCTGACAGTAGTGGCCGTGTTTGTGTTGCAGACGGACCTCGGCGTGCCCAAGATGGTGCGGGGCATCATTACCCAGGGTGCACGAGGGCTGGAGGGCAGCACCAGCGCCGAGAACAAAGCGTTCGTCAGGAAGTACAAGCTGGCGCACAGTTTGACCGGCAAGGACTGGACTCACATCACTGACGGCAAGACGGGGTTGGCCAAGGTAAAGGAGACAGACGTCCCCTCTCTCGCTGTCCCTCGCTCGTAGTTCATTTATAGCTGTCTTTCAACTCAATCCCTTTTCGCTCTTCATCTGCCTCCCGCTCCCTCCCTCTCTGCTTTGTCGTTTCCGAGAAGAGGAAGCCGTTTAATACGGCCTCGGCTCCGACGATAATTCAATTTAATCACCTGAGTCCTCGTTCTCCCGTCTTTCTGTCTTTGCCTGCTCTACAAGTCTACAATCTCTCTCTGCTTTTCTCTGTGTCTCATCCTCCCCGTTCATTCATCCTCCATTTGACTCTCACGGGTGTTAATTAAAAATGTCTTCCGTGCATCAACACTCGGGGCACTTTAAGCTCTCTTCTCCTTCCGAGCCGCCGTCTTAAAGCGTTAATAGTACTTCTTAGTGCCGAGCTTTTCTCCTGATGCTAAAAATCTGTTCTCTCTCATCTGCCTGTCTTTTTAAATGAGCATCCTGGGATATTCATCATACTTTTTTCTTCCCCCTATAGAATTCGGGAAGAAAGATATATGCAATTCAATTAATGAAATCAATATTACAACGTTCACAGCGCACATTTTGAAAGGATTTGTGCCATCTAGACAGTTTTTCAGCTTGTAATAAATCGTGTGCTTTTGCCACAGGCTGCATACTTGAAAATCAAAGAAAACACAGTCTCTATTGTTATTTTTTATGACACGTGTCACACTGTACATGGAAACAGTGGTGATTAGGAGTGTTATTTGACTTTGGACAGACAGCCTCACAATTGTGCAGTCGTGTTTTTGGAGACGCGTGGGGCGGTGGAGCTGTGAAATGACAGCTCTGACTACCTCCGCAGCGGATACGTCGTTCTCCATCGTTTCAGATTGCTCGCGCTCGATGCCTGTTCTCTGCCACAGAGCGACGTCCCGGCGCGCCCGCAGACGCCACATATGTCAAGCAGGCATGAAGTCAAGCGGATCAACGTGTTGAATCTCAGGCACGGCTCAGAGAGCGTCGGCTTTTTCAACAAACTCTGGGACAAGCATTAATACTCGTGTCGCATTTTATTTTAAATCCTGAACTACGGTAGAATAAAAGCTGCTGGGATCGTTGGAGCTCGCTAGAGAGCGTTGCTGGATTTTACCGTTGAGTAAACCTGAACTTCGCAGTCGCAGGAATTGAAAGGAAAACATTCTTATTTCCCTGTAAAATGAAACAAGTGAAAACCACGTGACGTCCCCCCCCCTCGTGTGCCTTCGCCTCCCTCGCAGATCTTCGAGGGGAACGGGAACTACGACACTCCTGAGGTGCGCCGCTTCGACGAGATCGTGGCTCAGTACATCCGGGTGTTTCCGGAGAGGTGGTCCCCTGCTGGGATCGGCATGAGGATGGAGGTCCTCGGCTGCGACTTGCCCGGTAAGAACGTGCTGGATGTCTGTGAGGAATGTGCATGTAGATGAATACTTAAGCACGCTGACTCACACTGTTACCGGTACCTTCCTTCACGGACAGATCGGAAAACATTGAGTTCATTTGAATAAACTTCTGTTGCTGCGTTAGATATTAGTTTTAAAAAGAGGTCCAGATTAAAACAAAATAAGCCCTGATGCCCTCAAAAACCTCTAACACCTCATGTTAGATTGTCGATGTGTAAATCTGCCATTGTTGTGCGTCTTTTGTCCATCTCTGTGCGTGAAGTACGGTGTTTGTTAACTCGTGTGTGTCACATTCTGCATAGCGGTTGATGTTAATCATCTTGCTCTGCAGGAGTTAATGCAGCATGTCTGGACAGGGATTAACATGTCTAGGTCATGGGACTTACACAGGCCAGCTGTGTGGTGCCATATTGTGTTCTCAGCCTGTTGTGTTAATAACACGTAGCTATGTAGTGGAGGATTAGCTGCCGTCCTGCGCAGTTATTTTCACTATCAATCCACGATCTACCCCGGAATGTGCTAGAAATGATGCTTTAGTGTAAAGAGGAACAAATGCAGACCACTAGAAGATGTTATTTATTACAATATGTTGCCGTTCTATGGAACTTGTCGCTGGGCAAATTACCCGCAGCAATGATAAGGCCACATAAATATCTCTTCACATTTACCACTTTTTAATGTGCCGCTTAAATTTGGCACTAATTGATTTCCTAATATGTTGTGTTGGTTAAAAAACCCAAATGGAGCCTATTTGAAGGCTTTCTCCGCCAGACTTCTATTCTCACTGGCAAATGGCGCGTTCAAATAGTGGTCCTCTCCTCTCTGATCTCCATCCTCTCCTTCTGCTTCATGTGCCACTGAGTCTTACTGCTTTAGTCATTTTAGACATCTGAGAGGTGCAGACAACAACAGGAAATGACATGCACCTGTTCCCAGGGGAACTGAAGTGGGCTGTTAGCTGCAACTGATGGGCTGCTGCTAGAATTCTGTATTTTCTGTTTGTGTGTGTCTTGTGTGTGTGTGTGTGTGTGTGTGTGTGTGTGTGTGTGTGTGTGTGTGTGTGTGTGTGTGTGTTGAAAGCAGGGCGACAGAGAGCCTGATGGGAACAATATATCCTAGATGTGTCAGGGCCAGCCAAGAGGTGTGCGGTGAGGAAGAGGAGGAGGAGGAGGAGGAAGAAGTTGAACACACGTTACCAATAGAAATAGAAATAAAATTCAGGTATAATACAGATAAAAACATGAAAAGTGAATTAAAACAAGGATTGTACTTTGCAGTGGTGAGTGCAGTGATTACTTCCGAGATGACACGTTTTTTATTATAATAAGTGCAATACAAAGAGAAAGCACTCATCCGCTCCTCATTCAGGGTGAAATCTTAACTTGAGTGAAAGGAGAATAGTGTAGTGTATTATACGCAATTATAGCCCCTTCACTTCTGTCCACGTCTATTTCACAGTTAGTCCAATTAAACTCTGTGGTTTCAGCTCGTATTTCGCTCCCGCCTCAGTTTAAAGTGTCCGTAATGAGAGGACATAAGAGGCGGGACGTTTAGGGGAGGGGGGGGGGGGGGTTCCTGAGGTGAGCTGACTGTAAAGTTTAAAATATGTATTTGCTGCTCAGTCACAACAAAGTAACAGTGAAAAAGAGCTTTGTGCTTGGCTGAATATATACTGTAGATGTTCTACCACTTGACTGGCAGCCAATGATTCCCTTCTAATGGAGACGAATGTGTCCTAAACGTCCAATCATGCTGACTGCAACCTCAGTGATTGCGCCGGCCGTGTTCCGTCCTCCCCGCACGCATCGCTTGTTATTGCACCTAATGACATCAGGCGCGTCATATCTGCAGCCGTCATCTCCGTGATCAAAGTGCGGCTCGACCCCTGCACCGGTGCATGTTGGGTGATCGGTGGTCTGTCCGTCTCTGTCTGCGCGCCAGATGTTTGCCCTCTGGATGCAATGCGTGCACGATAGCGGTTCATCCCCACTTGACACAAAGATAATTCTACATCTTGTGTGTCTGGTTTTTGATTGTCTGCTGAAAGTGATTTCAGGATAATGGCGCTGAACAACACGTGATCTCACCAGTCGTTCAGGATCACAGGAAATGGACAAAAGCAGAAAACACGCACGCGACTGACGACAAAACAGACTTTGTTTCTCTTCTCGCTTGTGTTTAAATATTTAACAGAGTGCATCAGCTCCGGTCCGCTGCACGCAGCTGTTCACACACAGGTCACGGGCAGACACACACACACACACACACACACTGTGGCCCTCTCGCGCAAATTCAGACACACACACTGTTAAACACACACACAGGGCTATAGATAGATAAGAGTCATAGAGGAAACGGCCCAACGGCTCTTTTAGTTAGTCGCATCATGATTGACACGCGGTCCCTGAAATCAGTGACACACATGATACAAATATGTGTCATCATTTAGTTCACGTGTAGCGGTTCAAATAGCCAAACTAGCGTCGTGCTGTCTTCTCCTTCACTGTTTCCCAGAGGAATTGTGTACAGTTTGTGTGTGTGTGTGTGTGTGTGTGTGTGTGTGTGTGTCTGTAGGCAGCCGTTTTTTTTGCTTTAAATGTTGCTTAAAAAAATACTGCAAACCTCATTTCAAAGAAACATCAGCTTTAACAAACTTACAAAGAAATAGCTTTTTCCATTACTTCCCCTGTATTGTTTTCACGTGTAAAATAAAGCGCGACGGCCTGGCTTCAAAGCGGGAGAAAAAAAAAAAAACTACTTCCTCACATTGGAGACAATCACATCACCCGGTTACAATGACGGAATCCTGAACGGCCGATGAGAGGTTCTCAGGTGGAACGTTCTCAGGCAGTCCAGCATCTCATTACTGCAGCAGACCCCCACAGTATCTGTGCAGGACTCGTTCTGATTGTACTCAACATGGAATTCAGGTCACGTGACCCCTGACTGTTGGATGTGAACGGAGAGCTGCCAGTTTTGTACACGTTTTAAATGACCCATCGGAACATCTGCTATGCTTTCATCTCTTTCACTCCACACCAAGTTATTGGCATGCAGGTAGAGCACACACATACACACACACACCACCTGTTTGGTATTAAGTAAAGGTTTGTTCATAGTTGTGTAAATACATGCTGCTTCTCAGCTCTGTTGAAAACTGCCGTGTGAAATGAGAGGGAGGCCCTGAAAGACGAAGACGGGGAGAGAAAGCGCCTTTGTGTCCGGCGTAAACTCATCTGCTGGTGTCACTGGTCCGTTAATCCTCACTTTGCTCACTTCAAAACTCACTGCGAAAGGGTGAAAAGTTCCACGTCACTTCTGCTGTTTAGCTTCACGTTTCAGTGTTTCAGAGTTTGTATGTGAGGAATCCCAGCACGGATTTAGACATCTGGCACCGGGTCAGACTTACACGTAGGAACCTTAAATGAAGGTTAAAATAGTCAGAAGCGCCTTCGCTGTGACTACTTTTTGCGCCTTAATTATGCTGCACTTAGAAAACGCACACATACACACACACACACACACACATACACACGTCCAGAATTACAGTGGCAGCCAGGAGGGAATGTTGTTTAGAGTTTCTTCTCTAGAACATTCTGGAGGTGTCACGCTGTTCCAGGTCTCCTACCAATCCTTCAGCTTGCGCCAAGTGTGTGTGTGTGTGTGTGTGTGTGTGTGTGTGTGTGCGCGTGTGCGTGTTGTCCTGATTGCTTTCTCGTGTGAGCTGTGGCTCCAGTCCAGATACTTTCATGTGATGGGACGTGTCCTTAGTTACACCCACTCATCTCTCCTCGGCTTCTTCTGCCTCGTCCATGAGGTGACACCTCGTGTGGTTTGAACAATTCATATTTTGTGGTCATTGTTGGTAAATGTAGTTTTTGACGACGTTCATTTATTTGTACAGACGAATGCAGTAAACGGAAAGTAGTAGTTCAACTTTGTATATGAAAGCAAAGTGTTTTATGTATGTTATATTACTAGATCAATATTATCCATCTTTATTGTTTTGTCATTGTCCGTTTAGAATAATAAAGATACCGTAACAAATGGTTGGGTAGCAACAGTATAGTTTAAAGTATGATTTCATTATGTCAACTAATACATTTACACATCTGACCCTGCTCGCACAAATATTACGAACACATTGGAAGAAATGGAAAATGATGTCAGAGAGAGAGAGAGAGAGAGAGAGAGAGAGAGAGAGGTGTGCTGTGCAAATGTTTGTGTTTTCTGCAGTTCCCACTCTGTCTCCGTCAAATACGACTCCTTCCCCATCAGAAGAATTTAATCACTCCCGTCTGCCAAGGCTCCTGTGACACACACACACACACACACACACACACACACACACACACACGCTTCATGCATTTGTTTCCTTCCATTCTCTTTGCTCACCTCATCGCTCTTTCATACCCTCACTCACCGCTCACGAGCCGCTGGCCGTGTTCTCCTTTGCTTCGTAGTGTGCGGAAAGTGATTCATCTTTCCACAGAAACGGAGGCGTAAAAATGACTTTAAGTTGAACCGGGGAGCTTGAGTGACAGAGAGACGTTCTGAGCGGTATTGGATCCAGCTCTGTTCACTTCAAGAGGGCAGTTTGGTTTGTCTCTTCCCTCCCTTCCATCTTGACGCGTCACACATGGAAACGCTCAGGTTTGAGTGCTGGTTCGCTGTGGCCGCCTGTGTGTTTATATGTGTCTGTGTGCAAAAATCCTTGTATTTCTTCCAACGTAAATATTTAGCTCTCGCTCGCCACCTCTTTGCAGTATCTCCCAGATCTATTTTTCCATCCATGCATTCATGCAGCCATCCGTTCATCAACAGCAACGAATGAGAACCTGCAATCGTCCTCGAGTCTTTAACCCTAATACAGAAAAATAAGCGTAAAATAAGCTTTTCAATCACGTTCAAGTGCAGGATCCTTTTTAAGACAAGATGCTACAACTAAACACTGGAAATGTTCATACACGTGTGCTATCAATATGAATGTAAACTAATGTGGCCTGATTGAGCCTGGGAAGTTGTTTAAATATCCTCCTCAGATGTTACCGCTTAGCGATAAGGAAAGCTGTCTTTCTTCTGTCCGGCGGAGTTAATGGCACACTTAACTTGATGGCTTTCCTCACACTTAAACTCATTTCTCCCTGCAGCTGAACGCTGCTCACTGACGTCTTTGGCCGTTCGTTGCCAGCAGCTTCTTCTCATTATCTCGGTTGTTGCCGTGCTTCTCGGCTTCACACTTAAGGCTGCAGTTGCCGTCACACACACCTCGCGGTGCCTTGTTGCACAGTGGACTAATGAGCAATTTCGCTGCCGGTAGTTTGCTGACGCGAAGAGCTTCTCTGCTTTGCTTCTCTGCCTCTTTTGAGTCGAAGCCTGTTATTGGTGCAGCATCTATTTTGCTGGGTTAGAGACATTCTGCTCACCCGCCCATAAGGCAGGAGAACCTGTGGTCGAGTTGGGCACTTATCGTAAAAGCAGATGTATTATTGGTAGCGGGCTGTACAATGGGCTAATTGGGCATTTAGTCTCCAAAGAGTTTCCTGCTGTAAAGAACGCGCTTTCCCGCCCACTCATCTGCACAAGAGGGAGCCATAATTAGTCGAGCACTTTAAGCTGCGTGTAAATCAAATGTGCACTTTTGGAATTTAAGCACGGTATTCTGATTCAGATCACTGGCGCTGATCGTCATCTCAAAACACTCACGTGTTCAATTCGTTTTCAATTCATTGTTTATTTGGTTCCACCAACGCGTCTCTGTCGATGAAGATACTTAAATATCAAACAGTCTCCTTCTTGGTGGAACGGAGAAAAAGTTTCACTTGCTGGCTTCCAAGTTTCCCTTCTTTAAAAACACATTTTCTACTCCTTCCAATCATTACATGTTCCATAATACTATACAGTATTAACTGTTTACCAAATTAGTGTAGATCATTTTAGCAATAATGTTTCTAGCAGACGCACACACAACACACACACACACACACACACACACGCAGTGAGTCTGTCGTTCAGTCAGTCAACCACACACTCATTAAGCAAAGGAAACTCCCACCAATACACACATGCGCCGTGTCACCAATAATTTGACTACAGACGACATTCTTTCTTACTCCGACACACACACACACACACACACACACACAGACACACACACACACACACACACTGTGCCAGTAGTCATTATTTAGGCTGACAGAGGTAGATTTATACCTAGAGCTCTTTCCATAATTGAACAGTTTTTCGTCTCTCTGTTTCCGCCTCACTCTGCTCAGTCAGCAGCTTCACAATGAACCCTTGGGCCTATGACAGTGTGTGTCTGTGTGTGTGTGTGTGCATGGTTAAACGATACAAACACCTTCTGTTTCTTAGTTTGAGGTGTGTGTGTGTGTGTCTCATGATAAGAGAGGGAAGGCAGGATGCTGTAACTCGGCGGCGCTCTGGATGACCCGTCTGCAGAATTCAGAAGAAAACATCAGTGTTTCTTTTACATCCCTATTTGGATCCTAATGTTTAAAACATGTCCAACTGGAAAAAAAAGTTCCTGCTAAAAGAAAGAAGAACGTTTATAACTTAATAACAGCAACTTCAAGTCAGCAAAAGGTTTGCTTGTATTTGTTTGCTGACCTCTGACCTCTTGCAGTAGCTGCACCGAGGACCACAAAATTAGTGAGAAATGCGAGATGACAAAGAGGACAGCGAGCGGGACCAATAGCGGGACGGGGGGGACGACGGACGGAGAGCAAAAGCGGATTAGACGGGTGGAGAGGAGGTGGAGGCAGAGACGGGAGGGTGACAGGAAGCTGCGTGTGGTCACTAATTAGGGAAAGTGGTGGTGAGCGGTCGAGAAGGTTGCGTTCCCTTCTCCGTATCTGTGTGTGTGTCTGTGTGTGCGTCCCTCCCTCTTTCATCCCCCCCCCTCCTCCCTCCGGTATGGGGGGTAATTACAGTGGTAAAGGGCACCAAATTAAAACAGCTTAATGTCAGCAGCTGGGAGCTACTTATCCAATGTTGATATCTAATTTTGTATATGAAACGTGTGCGTGTGTGTGTGTGTGCGCTTGCTACGCTTGTGTTAGGACGCCAACGTGAGGCCTTTCTGTTTGGGCTCACATAACAACCGCGAATACTTTTACTATGAGCAGACTAACAAACCTAAACGCTATTAGCAGAGGTTAGCAGTTCACACTAAACAACACACACACACATGCAGATCTCCAAGCGAGTCGGTCGTGGAAACATCTAGAGCAGCCAAACAAGCAGTAAATCAACAAGTGCTCTCAGATTTACTGCCCCGGCGGTTCGAGGCGAACATAAAATAACACCAGGAGACGGAGCGGCAGCGCGGAGAGAAAGATTTAAAAAAAAAAAAAAAAACATTGAGAGATCGCAGGAGAAAAAGAGCAAAAGAAAGAGACGCAAAAAGAGAGAACGAGCAGGCGGACGGGAGAAAAAGGACACGTGGAAATCAAAATATGCTTCAGGGAGAGATGACAGAAATGCGAGCGAGATAAAGAGTTATGATAAGAATATTTGCGGTTGGTGTTAAAAGAGAAAGAAGATCATATAGGGTTTCATTTCTATGCCGTCAGAGAAAAGAGTCTTTTTGTGTGTGTGTGTGTGTGTGTGTGTGTGTGTGTGTGTGTGTGTGTGTGTGTGTGGTGTGTGTGTGTGTCCCCACCTGCCGTGGGTGAGTGAGCACTGTGCCACATTCTTCAGCTCAGCGAAGTGTGTCCCCCTGGATGATGACAAACTTCTGTCTTGATGCCGGAAAGCTCCGGCATGAACAGTGACTGTGTAACACGTCACGCGTTAAATGGCGCCGCCTTCTTTTTCCTTCGTAACAGAAACCACCACCCTACCCGACACTGTGACCCCCACCCTGCCGAGAGTGGAACAGACCTCTGCTGCGATGAGACCCGGTAAGCATGCACACACACGCACACACACACACGCACACACACGTACGCACACACACACACCCATGCAGATTTTCTTTTAAGCACACATGCATAAACGTCTCCGTCATGCTTAAGTTTCGAAGGCGTGATGTCATCGCTCACCCTGAGGCTTTGAAGTCTGCAAGGTGCAAGGGTCTCTTTTACTTTATATACAGCATGACACTAGGTCACAAAAAAAACATCTAAATATGATGGGAAGATCTCCAAAAGCATGGAACATCAAAGATCACAAGAGGCTGAGGGGGGAGGGGGGGGGGGGGTACATATGCAGCAAAAAAGAGAGACGTCCAACGCCTTTATTCACAATGCGTTTCCCCACCGACAGCCACCACCCCGTCGCTGTCGGCTGTGTGCGACTTTGAGCAGAGCCTGTGCGGCTGGTCGGCCGACCCCCAGTCGGGCGTGAGCTGGTCCCTGCACACGGCCAGCAGCGGGTCCCCCGGACACGGCTCCCACGGGACGAGGCAGGACCTGGCGCTCGGATCGGACAGTGAGTGCCGGACACGTGATGTCACATAGTTTGAGAAGCTCCTCCTCTCTTTTTGTGTTCTTTTTTTTTTTTTTTTTGGTCACACACACAAATGGATCACGCGGTGGGGGGGGAGGCGGGAGTATCGAATCCGTGCTGGAAACGTGGTTTTCCAGATTGAATCAATATTGCAATCAACTCGCTTCCTCCGCCTGTTTCCGGCGGTCCGAGTAGCAGGTCCCCAAAATACGCTTACGTTGCCGTGCAAGCCTGCTTAGTGAAAGTAATTTAAAGGGACAATCCACCCATTTTCCAGGCCTGAGCCCCATTAAACATCCAATCTCGCTGGGTGTCCTTCATTTCAAGGCATTTCTCATTCTATAAACGCGGAACACAAAGCGCCGTCATGTTGGGATGTTGGAAGGCTTGCGTGGCTAATTATGAGCAACGGGCTTGTAACACTGACAGCAACTATGATGCAAGAATTTCACTCTTATCTGTTAAATGGGTTCACAGCCGTGTCTTAATTGGAGTTTCTCAAAAGAAAAATGGGTTCACAACATTCTCACTTTCCATGTTACTTTATTATCTCCTTTCCCCGCCGCCCTTTGCTTTTAATACACAACCTATTTTGTTATTTTATTCACTCTTGCTCCTTTTGCATACTTTTTCGTTTTGCTTTATTTCCAGCTCCCTTTAACCTTCAACGGTATTCCCTCTCACGTTCCTACTCGTCGCCCTGCTTCCTCTTCCATCGCTCTCGCTCCGTCACTGTGAGCAGTGCCTCTCCTCACTGACCTCGATCTCCCTCAGTGGTACTTGGCTTTTTCAACATCTGTCTATCTTTAATAAGACAGCGAGAGGATAACCGAGACTGTTTTATCCATCACACACACACACACACACACACACACTTCCTGTACACATCACCCGCGGCGCTCTGATAAGTCAGATGATGGCTTTGACAGAAGTGCTGCCTTTGCTCTTTAGCTCCTCCTGAGGCGCCACGCAGACACACACACACACACACACGCAAACCACTCAAGGTGGGCCGGCCTGCGTATTAAACACTCAACTTGTGTGGGTTTGTTTCCCACACACACACACACACACACACACACACACGACCTTGCCACCCACCAAGGTTTTCTATGTCCATGCTGATGCCCTCCGCTTCATGGTTGACCGAGCAGCTCCTTGATAAACAGACAGGGCCGTGACATAAGGAGAAGCTCTACATCACACCGGCCCGCTGTGTGCGTGTGTGTGCGTGTGTGTGTGTGTGTGTGTAATTGAAATAGCAGCGTCACTATGTCCGCGTTAGACGGCAACATGACGTTAAGTCTCGTTGTACGCGGCTCCGCGTCTAGAAGCTGTCTCGATATGCAAATCAAACTCCCATCCTACGCTGCTGAAAGCGTTTTTAGGGTATTTTTGGTAAAATAGAAAATCCGACGCAAACAGAGCTCCTAAGTTATTCTTTTGATCTGCGACAGTCTTATACCCTGTCGGGGAGTTCCTTGGAAAGAAAGGAACTTCAGACTGGTTGTCTGAGCTGGTAATGTTGTTGATAAGGAGAGAAAAGGAGACTGGGGGGGGTGGGGGGGGAGAAGGTAAAGAGTCACGTTGCTTGATGGAATTTGAGTTTCGGTTTGACCCAAAAGGTGCAACGTTTAAAAAGCTTCTTGTCTTTACAACCTGAACCCGACGTTGACAAAAAATAACTGAACTAATGGTTTCTTTTTTTTTTTTTTTAAGAATCACAAAATTAGTATTTCACAGTACAAGCAAGTATAAACAAACCCAGATTAAGTAGATAACAAGAAGTCAAACATGTTTCATGAGCAATCAACAACCCATATTGATAAACCACTGAAAAAAATCAACACGGAAACCTATTAATTAAGACACACCATTTTCTTGTATCTGTAACATTTATGTTCCACTCACAGCAGGATTTGTGTGTTTTCGTCCAAACGTGACCACATGCGGGGCACAAGATGTGAACCCAAATCTGTGATGTCAAATCCATAAATATCCAGGAATTATTTTATTATTTTTAGGAGGTTCATCGCTTTCAGGGTTTTTTCAAATGTAACTAAAATCAACTGCAACACGGCCAGGAAGGAAGGCAGCTCTACTTATTGTGATCTAGTGACTAGAGCATTGAAACTACTCCACAGTCTCTGCTTCGATCGTGGCGATCGGAAATGACGCAGAAAGTGACGGTTGCATTTGCATAATATAACTCTATAACATTTACTCTGCACGGATACTGCGGAACTCTACGATCCAAAACGATAAACTCACACACAGATTTGTTGGCAAACAGATCCCCGCGACTGAATTGCAACAGACATCGACGCACACGTACCCCCCCGTCCTCCCTCCCTCCCTCCCTCCCTCCGAGCCAATTCTGCATCCCTGCCCATCCTTCCCATGGAGAGTTGTTAATTAATTCCCTCCCTTTGTACATTCAGCGAGATCAAACGAGGAGAAACAGAAAAAACACTGCCACTTCCCCTTAACTGTACTTAATGAGCAACGGTAATTGAGGTCCTCTCTTCTCGGAGCCTCCAAGTGAAGAAACACAGCTACCTCCACCCAAATCCATTATTCATCCAGCGTGATGTGCTGCCAAATCTGCAGAGAGTTTTTTTTTGTATGTCTCAGTTGAGGCAGGAAAACAGAGGCGAAGAAGAACAGATGGATGGATGGATGGATGGATGGATGGATTCTCCTCTCTCTCCTTCCTTATGAGTTGTCCGTCCGCCCGATAAAATGACTATTTGCAGCTCCAGCAAAGCTTTTACTCCGCGGCCATAATAGACAAACGAGACACACAGCCAAAGCGCAGCAGCAGGCTAATGATTATGGTCCTGTTATGGGAGGGGAAACCATTGTGTCACTCCCCCCCCCTCTTCCCTCTTACCTTCCCCTTCTCCATGTCCATCAATTCTACGAGCTGAGAGGAGGGAAAGGAAGTAAATTAGATTTTTGTTTTGTTTTTGTTACCATTAGTGTGAGTGTGTGCAGGGGAAGCGCACTCAAACACACACACACACACACACACACACACACATTACAGCATTGGTACTGGTGCTGACTGGGTCGCAAAAACAGAGAGAGCACCAGAACGAGGTGTCAGCATCCACAGCGATTTGGGCTGCTTAGCTCGATTGTGCGCGTGGTTGTGTGTGTGTGTGTGTGTGTGTGTGTGTGTGTGTGTGTGTGCTGATTTTGTATCCTCGGCCATTAGCGGCCGTGATGAAATGGAAGTCTCGTTCGCGGTTTGAGGCCGGTACCGCAGGATGATGGAGGTAATTGCTTCAACGCCAAGCGGCCACATTCCGCTGCATTATTACATCCCGCTGTACGTCGGGCTCGACGCGGCTTTTGTGCGGCAGCGCCGTCGCAAATCACCCAGCTCGTTACAACGGGATCAATTACAGGGATGAAACGCAAAACAGCAAAGACAGAAAGCGTAAAGTTAAACGCTAAAGGGAGGGGGTTATAAATCAGAGTAAAGGTCACAACTGTTTTATGTGTTACAAGTAATTACTCGGTAGTACTTTGCTGATCCGATACGAAGATGAGGCCTCCACCACCTCTCCTTTCCCTCCAGGTTTCTCGGGGAACTACCTCTACCTGGACGGGGGCGCCCACACCCAGCGCAAGCGAGCCCGGCTCCTGAGTCCCGAGGTGGGGCCGGAGCGGGGCCCGCTGTGCCTCGTCTTCTACTACCAGCTGCAGGGGGAGGCGCTGGGGAGCCTGAGGGTGCTGCTGAGGGACAGCGACCAGGACGAGACGCTGCTCTGGGCCCTGAAGGGGGACCAGGGGCCCCACTGGAGGGAGGGCCGCACCATCCTGCCCCAGAGCCCCAGAGAGTATCAGGTGGGTGGCGGGGGGGGGGGGGCGCCTGCTGTCACCTGTCACTGAGTCGGCTGTATTTCTGTAGTCAATGTGATGCTAAGCTCAATGGGGACATCGTGGTGTCTTCATTTTCTTCCCCCACCATCCAGGTGGCGTTCGAGGGCTTTTTCGACCACCCGACCAGAGGCCACATCAGGATAGACAACATCCACATGAGCAACAGTGTCGAGCTGTCGGAGTGCACGCGTGAGTGTTTCTGCCTGTCTGCCAACACGTCAGCTTCTGCCGACTCCCTCGTGCTCCCGCGGTTGAAGCGAGAGTGAGGCGATAAAAACTCAGAATGTTTCTCGTTTACACACACGCGCGCGCATAAAAAAATATATAAAAAGGAAAGTAGGCCACAAACGGCCTGTGGGCACGGATACTAATCTATCTTTCATATCTCGCTCTCCATCTCCTTCAGTGGTTTCCCATTGCACCCCGCCCCTCCGCTTTGTGACTATTGTCTCCTTCGCTCTCTGTCCCGTCAGCCTTGTCTTTAAAGTCAGTCCATCGAGCATCGAGAGACGGGTGTGAATGTTCGGTTCACCTCTCAGACACGAGGCCGAGGCCGATTAAGGCGCTGATGGGCTTCAGTTAAGGAAGCGTTGTTTTTGCTGAACCTCAAACGCACCGGCTAGACGCAGGAGTAGGTTTTAAATAATTCACGTTTACTTTTCCAAACAATGTGTTTCCATCGTTTCTTTTTTATGTATTATTTGCTCATTATTCCATCAAGAAACTCCTCATAATTCATATTTCTCTCTTGTTTTCCCTCAAAACATGTGCTTCTCTCTGTTTTTTCCCCTCTTACACTTTCACAAAAGATGTCGTATCCTGCGGTAAATAATAAAGAGCAGTAAATTTCAGTGCCTGTTCCCACGACCCTTCAACTTACCTCCACCCTTCCTTTCCAGCCCTCTATTTCCCGTCTGCTCACCCTTCCTTCACTCTTTTCTTTCTTTTTCTAACCTCGACACCTCTTGTGTGACCTCAGGAGAGACATAGATGACATATTAGAAGGACGAAAGTGAGAGCAGGAGAGAGAGAGAGAGAGAGGGGCATTCAGGACCACGTGCTTCCTGTTTTTCAACCCATAAAACTCACTCTTTTGCCTGCGTCCTTCTTTTCTTGGAAAAATGACTGTCGTCCTGGAAGATTTATTGGCTTTCAGAGCGCTATGTCATCTTGGAACTCTACAAATCTTGATTGATTTTCAAAAAAGAGGACACTTGCCTTGGCAAAAATTGCGGCGTCCTGCGGTTTTTGCGATTTCAGCAGATTTAAAATGCATTTCTTTTAATCATCAGAAAGATTTAATCAATTAATCAATTTAATCATGGAAATTTGCCAGCGTAAAAAAATCCCAAATATGGTGCTGTATTTCATATCTGAAAGAAATATTCTATAATTGAAAAAATGTGCTCAATCAAAATGCTCACATTGTAACGTTAACACAGTGTTTAGCTTATTTTCTTCTTTTCTTTAATAAGTGATGACGGCCCATCCTCTCACATACTGTATTATGATACAAGAGCCAACCTTTGAAACCCCTTATATGGAAGAGACTGATACAACAGCGCTTTGTCACTTAATTATTTCACATTTTCATAATGTCAGTACAGGAAATTCTACCTCAAAGCCGACGGTAGAACAATTGAACCACTACTTGGCGTAACCGCCAAATGAGATTCCTCACACATATCAATTATTTACCATCATCAATAACATTTCTTTTTTCTTACTCTTTTCCAGAGCCTTTCCCCGCCTTAACTCCTGGCATAACCAGTAAGTCCTGCTTCCTGTTCCCTTCCTACTTCCTGTGCCAGATGTCTGTGCTTTCTGCTTGTTGCTGAGCTCAGCTTGCAGCACCGCGATGGCCCAGAGTGACCTTGACAGCATAATATATGTAGCATACTGCTAAACAGACACTTATACTCACGGAAAATCCTGCCCTCGGTTGGTTCCTGATATATATATCATATATATATATATATCTCATATATTTATATGACATATATACTGTATATAGTGCAATGTGGCATTTAATATAACATTAAATATAACTACGTACCTATAAAACTTCCACATTTATTGAAATAATGGGAACAACGTTGAATGGATCCACTGCATCGTTTCAGCATGACTCCCTGCATGCTGGGCCGATACGTTGTGTAGTTTGTTGTGTTCCTTAGCGAGAAAATGACTATTTGCTGCAAACACAGACACATAATTACACAATTTCTTACTACAAAGACATTGGCAGGTTCGGATCCTTAATGGTGTGTGATCAGTTACTGGTATTCGTGTACACAGTGGGTGTGCCTGTAGTGTGAATAGTGTATTTTTGTATCGGTCAAATGGTGAATGAATTAAAAAGCGACATAGGAGAAGAGTCTCCATCCGGTCATTTTCTTCGGTTATCAATGGAACTAGAATAGCAGAGCTCGCTAACTACTTCCTCGCTCATTCATTCCTCCGTCCGGCATTTCCGTCGACATGGAAGCTCTTTCTTCAGTCTTCTCTTAGTCATTACTTTTCTTATTACGCGTTTTGGCCATTTTTTTATATTTAGCTTATTTCATCGTATTATTTCGTCTTTTTGATTCCATTCCTTGCCTTTATTTTCATTTGTTCTTCCTTTTTTCACCCCCTCCTTTTTCCTTTTCCCTCCCTCATCCCGAAATAGGCCGGTCTGAGAGCAGATTATGCTACTGGATGAACTTGTTCTGAGTTAGGGTATAAAAGACCCACAACATATGAACATGGGAATTTTAAAGACGCTACAGTCTTAGTGACACTATATCAGTACTCCAATGATTTGTGGGTATTCATTTTTTTTGTTGTTGCCCTTTGTCATTATGTTCACTGTGACTGGCTGCTTACAGTGTTTGAGTCGGCTCAGTGTGTGTCTGCCATTGCGTTAGAGAGTCACGTGCTCCTATTGTGTGAATAGGTCAAAACCAGATTTTGAACATTGTTGCTATTTGTTAACCACAATCCTATAATAAAAAAAAACAAGCATAGCAACCCCCCCAAAAAATATTAAAAGCCCCAGAGCCAAACTCATGAAACTCTTCTCACCAGCCTCCTGTGCTGAATATTTGACCTAATGGAGTATTGGATCCTGAGCCGGTATCATATGACAACAGTGTCAGCTCCCCCACACGTATGTTTGAGACTGAACCCCAAAGCGAGGGGTTGAATTTGTACTTTGAGACGCGTGTTGAAAAGCCAGCTAAGAACTAAAGCGTTTCTCCTTGGATGTACTTTAACCCCGTATACATACATGCAGATATGCGCAGTAGAGTTTGGATTGTGCGAGTGATTTTGAGTGTTGAAAGCACTGAGAGGAAATTGTTAGAACATCATTCAAATTAGATTAAATTAAATCAATTCAGAATGACTCCATCCGCAGTGCGAGAGGAGGAATGCACTGCCATGGCAACCAATCCTTTTTAATTGCATCCTATTATGATCTTTATCGTTTAAAATGGCGAGTGTGCGGTGGGGGAAAGCTTACATAAATATGTTAACTTAAATGAATTAATAGACCGAAAAGATCACGTTAATGGAGAAACTCCTGTGGATCAGATTTGAAGTGTAATGTGCGATTGTTGAGTGACGTGATCCTGCGGCGTGACGTGCCACTGTGTTGGGTTTCTGTATCCATGGCAACCAGGGAGGCATCGGGCCGGTCATGCTACGCACACGCTCACCTTGAGAGAAAAGAATTAGAATTCTGTCTTCGGTTTGACGATGGAGGCCTCTCACCCTTTCACCTGCGCTTTGCCTCATTCAGATAAGGCGAGGCGGTTGGATTGTTAAACTTTGAATGAGAAAAAGAAAAGAAACTTTAGTGGCCGCGGCCCCTTGAAAGCCACACTTTTAAGCCCGTTTTAGGAGTGGTTCTCTTTAGAAAATTTTCCCTTTGTTCTCCTTTTAGATACATTTTTAAAAAGCAACGGCCATTTTTTTTACAGCGAGAAATCCTCCGTGTGTTCATCCGCTGAAACAAAGGCGCTGCGCTCAGGCCGCTCAGAGCACAGCTTTACAATCAAAGCCAATTTCAAACCCTTAAAGAGTTTGTCTGAACTTTTTTATGAGATAAAATTAAGCTCTCTGCTTTCCTCGAGGTTCCGTGTCTTTCTCTGCACCTCTGCCGCCTCTGTCCATTCATCACCGCTCACTTTTATCCCGTCTCCATCTACTCCTTCCTCCACTTTCCCCATTCTTTTGACCGTTCTTTTCCTTTTGCACGATCTTTCTTTCTTTCCTTTTTCTCCGTCCTTCCTTCCTCCAGCAACCTCGCTCTCCACGGGTTTCTTTCACGGTGAGTTGACAGAGTATTGAAGTTTCAGACGAACCCTCTAATGCAGGATTAAAGATATCATGGCAGGATTAGCTCGCTCCCTTCACCCCCCCCCCCCTCTCCCCTCTTTCTTCTATCCCTCTCTGTTTCACTCCATCCTTTCTTCCTATAATGCCTCCTTTCTCCCGTCTCATTTCCCCTCTTCCCTTTTCCATCTAGTTCTCCCTCCATTGTACTGCCTTCAATGTTATCTCGGCCTGATAAAAGCAGCTGCGTCTTACCGAATACAACCACTTTTAACACTCGCCGCTCTTCGTCCGGCTCCAGCCAGTCACTGCATAATCCAGGCTGAACGCATCGCATGAGCCTCCTGTCAATGTGCGGCTAATTGTTGTGCCATTTGCATCGGCCGAAGCCATAACAGCATAATCGAAAAACAAACATGCATCGGGATTTATTTGTAGAGAATTTAAGATTTAAGGAGACTTGCAGTTGCAGTTGGGTGTTTAAATATTGGGGAAGTGAGCTACAGCTGTACGTTTCTTTGCCTGCAGTAGATCCTGTATATGTTGTTTAGTCGAATAACAGCAAGAGACGTAATTGCAGCTCAGTGCTAAAGTAATTGACCATTCACTGAACCCAACCCCCCTTTAGTTACTGTTACCCCTTAGTGGCCTGTCAAGCATTACGATCTCGCCCAACATGTATGCAATTTACATGGAGAACAATGGCGGATTTAACACGCGAAATCATCTGTAGTTTCAGAAACAATAGATTCTTGATTTCATTCAGAGGAGGACAAAAGCTGCTCACTTCTAGCTAGCTCTCATCAGTTCGATCAGCGAACGCAAAGCCGCCACCGTGAAGACGAGACAATGTGAAGTCATTTATAGACATTCTAACATAGCCGTGCAAAGTGGGTCTGAAAACGGCTCAAACAGAGAGTAGTTTTAGGTTTCTAGCCAGTGATGTGCCTGAAAGCCTTGAAAGCGATGCCCGTTGCTAGTTAGCGAGGCATGCTATCCGATCGCATCTTAAGATAGAGCAGATTAACACTTGGTTTAATCCATTCATTATACTTTTCACTCCTGGCTTCTTGAAAGGGGTACAAAAATAACAGGCTCGATTCCGCTTGTGGAGAAAACTAAAGCTTGACGGGTGCCTAGTTACGGCTGATTTAATAATCATTGTCCGGGGGGGTTATGGAACAGTGAATTAGACAGCCTTTGGCTCTCCAATGCGGTCTGCATGCCTGCCTCCCTCGTCCGTAGTGCCAACCAGTAATGTGTCCTCCTGCCCTCCAGGGGGAGCCATGTCTGGATTGGAGCCCACAGTAGACACAGTGGCGGTGCAGCCCCTCCCGGCCTACTGGTACTATGTCTTGGCGGGATGCGCTGCCCTCTTGCTGCTTGTCACTGTAACGGTGGTGGTGACGCTGTGCTGCCATCGGTACCACTGGGCGCCCAAGAAGACCAGCGCTGGTCATCACCATTCAGTGATGTACCACAACGGCCAGCACCCAAATCAGCCGAGCCACCAAAACTGCTACCAGAACCAAAACCTGAGCTATAATCTGATCCAGAGCCCCAACCAAAACAACCTGCGCCCAGTGACTGGGCCGAGTCTCGACCCCATGCTCACCATCCGGTTGGAGAAAGATGACAGCTATGATTCCCGGTGTTGAAAACAACTGGACTTTATGTGAATGATATCCTTTTATTAGAATGCTTTGTTCAAATGAAGCCATTTCGGGGTGTGAAAACTCCCCGAAATTCATGATCAACAGCAGTGTTCCGCATGATGAGAATCAACATAGAAGAGAAGCTGCAGCCCTTGTTGCTGATGCGGATCTAGTTAACCGATCGGCATGCACCTTTGCTAAACTTCCTGGAGGGCTGCCGCTGGCAGAGCGAACTTGTGAAAGCTTTCCCTTTGCTGGGGGGGGGGGGAGTCGATGGAAGAACTTTAATTGATGAACTTATAGCTGCACCTCAAACCTGGATGTAAAAGACTGTGGACAAAGAATACGTACATTCAGTGTACACGGCTTGTACAAAAATGTCAGAGCAGGAAAATGCCTGTCTGCCCTGCTCTGATCTGCCGCTTGGACACTGCCTGCCCCCCGAGAAAGAGGGGGTTCCCACCCAGGTACGGGGGGGGGGGGTGGAAGTCACAATGCGAGCTGCATAAAGAAGTGGGTCCGTTTCTCTGGGTCTGAATAGAGCTGCTGTTTGTTTGTGCACACTAGCCTTCGAGAGAAGAGGCGTGGGGAGACGGATGGACGGCTGCACATCCAGCGTGGGGGTGTTTGGGGGGGTGGGAGGATGTCCTTGGGTCCGTGTGTCAGGTTTACACAGGATGAGATGGCTGCAGACCTACCAACAAACACTGGAAGGCTCCAGAGTCTCGTACACATTTGCACGGACACTTGCAGCTTGTAGTTGAGTCTCGCGCGTCGCCCCGAGTGCATTTTTCAACAAAAAAAAAAAAGAAACATCCTGATATGCCTTTCTTAAAATGTGCTTTAAAACTCTTACCTCTTGGCCTCCAGAACGAGGCGGCGCCTCAGCGTGGAATCGGAGCGCGAACGGACTCAATGCGGTTTTGCCTTGATCTTATAAATAATCCAATGCCTGTGTTTTACTGTTCAAACGGAGCATCGTCACGTCCTGCACTCAGACCGGGTGAATGAAACAAATCAAAGAGAATCTAAAGTGGCACTTTTCATTTAAGTCTGTGAAAGTTCAAATCTTTTCTGTGTGTTAAGCTCATGACGAATCAGTGATCCCAATGTTTCGCATATTAGACCATGTGGTCCGCCTGGCTGCTGAGTTTGGCTTCTACTCAACAGCTGGAGACCAAAGAAATGCTGTAGGATGGAGCGTCTTTCGCTTTTAGGGAAATAAAACACTGATCCAGGATCACTGGCCATTTATCTTTACCATTTCATTTTCTCAGAACTGATTCCAGTGCAGCTCCACCGTCAAACCCCTCACACACATTTATTTTCTTCTTAGTCACCCGTCATCAATCATGTGCTTTTATATTGGCACGGATGAGTTTCCGACGCGATTACGATGTTTTGCGATGTTCATAGTGACACTTTTCTGCTCCTTGGTGAAGTATTTCATGATTTGTGACAATTTGTTGACGTGTACTGTGAATCTTAATAGAAACAATACGTTGAGTATGTAGGTTGTGAATTGAATATGCCTTCATTCTTTGCACCACATGTTACACGACGCCTCCGTGTGCTTCTGATGTATGATGGTTATACAGTGTTTATTTTTTCGTTTTAAAGCAACAGTTTTGTGGATCGTGTTCACCCAAATTATCTTAACGGGTTGAAACCAATTTGCAACAGCGAACGTTTGTTCCTCTTTTAAAGTGTCTATTATATCATGATGAAATTGCACCAAATGGCTCCTGCACCATTTTGTCTTTTTTTTTTAATCAAAATCTGCTCGTTCCTACTGTACCCCTCATTGCAAATCCCCCCAGTAAAAAAAAAAACCCAAACAAACAAAAAAATACAGGAGATAAATGAGTGGCAGAAAAGAAGGAGAGCAAACTCTCTCAGAGGAGCGGGGCCCATTAAGCGAGGCCCCCGTTCCCTCCGAAGGATGCGCCCAGAGAGGGAGGAAGATGAAAGAAGCTCCCCACACTTTCTAAAGATAGATTTTCTTTCCGCTCGGAGAGGACGGCTGACAGGGAGGCAGGTTGGAGTGTTTTTTTTGGGATTGAAGGAGGAGGGCAGGTTGTTTTCAAACACAAAAGCAGATGAAAGAAGTCTTTTGGCGCGATGGACAGTTTGACGCTGCACGTCACGCCACCGCGCAAACACAAATTCCGTCAAATTGAGTCTCGTAGAACGTAGAAAGTATTTTCGGTATATTATGCCTTCATGTCCATTTCAATCGACTTGGTTGCGTGATTTACGCATCATGTGACTCACTGTAGCGGCCCTGCGCCCTGGGCCCTGTGACCCAATCAATGAAGGTCCCAAATTCAAACAGATAAATGATATACGTCTGTATTTATGTTGTGCCACCCGTGCATTTTTCTCTCTTCCATTCTCTCTGTCAAACTTTTTGCAAGATTTGGAAAAAGGGCTGGCGTCTCTTCACTCAGCGCTTTAAACCCCCCCCCCCCCCTCCACCCTCCTCCCTCCCCTTCTCCATCACAGACGACTTTGAAGGCCTTTAATATTTCTAATTAGTTAATGGAGCTTATTGCGTTCATAAAAGCCTGCGGTAAGCATTTTCTAGCCTCGGGCCTTTTCCTTTCTCCCCCTTTCTGCCTCCCCCCCCCCCTTCTCCGCTCCTGGAGAAATATTACGAGGGGAAGCACTCTAACGCCGGCACGGCGCGCGGTGCCAAAGAGCCATCCATGTCTTTTCCAGAGTTTAAAAAAAAAAAATTCTCTTTTCTTCTCTTTGCTAATTGGAGAGTGGAGATAAAATGGGGCTACGGGGAGTTTTTAAATCTCCCCTCAGATCCGCGCGGTGATTCTTCTCCGGGATCCCGGCCTGCAGGCTGAAGACAGGAGGGGAGACCGATTGGATCCCTGTGATTGACTAACACACAAACTGGGATTAGCCATGTTCAGCTCAGCAGATGTTTTAGGGCAAACTGCCCGTTCTGCCCAGCAACAGGATTTATTTATTCTTCAATGTGGAGAAACATCCGACCGCATTATTTCCGTGTGACGGCGTTTCAGACAGACATTTGTTTTCCGGGCTCGCATGCTTTGAGACGTCTTTTAACCGCCTGTATTTGCTTTGTTTTTAATCCTCTCTGTTTTTGGTGAAGTGAAATCACATGTTAGGGCGGTTTTTTCGAGGGGGGGGGGAACCGAAGTCGATGATGTCATTTTGAATCAAATGAATCGATAATGTTGTTGTTGTTCTTTGATTTGGTTGTTTTTTTGTGTACTGATCAGACAGATGTTTCCTTGTGTAACTGCCTTTCTGGAACATGGCCTCATCAAGCCATCGGCTTGGACTGAAACTGCGACTAGTTTAGACTCAACGAAACCGGCCTTGAGGTAGAAAAGTGCTCGGATGTTCATCCACCTCACGGATGTGTTTGCTCCTGTGCACTTTCTCTGCCTCGATGAAACAGAGACGTCAACTTAATGATCGTCTGGCGCGCGCCGCATTTCACTGTCGAGCACTTGAAACAAATTAGATATTGAACCGCGGAGGAATAAACAAAACCCAGGTGCACGTGTACTCAGTCCCATAATCAAATAATTAAATAAGCAAACTCAACATCGGTGAATGAATACGCTCCATTCAGCATTGAGTTCATTGGTTGCTGTAATTTCTTTGGTTTATTATCTAATTGGGTTTGGAAGCCAACTTTGGATCAATTCTAAACACAAAGATTTGATTGACTCACTTTAGAATTACCTCATATTTAATACATGAGCAAATCTCTTTATTTCACAGATAGCAGCTCTCATTTAAAAGTATTCGCCTCCTTACTATCATTTACAGGCTGAAGAGTGTTGGGTGTTAATAAAGGCCGTATCGTCCGGCTGCCACATGTTAAAATTGTCTCATAGAAACGAAGGACCTTATCTAACTGAGGAAATGAGGCCGCGCATCATTTTTCATATCAACTAAATTAGTTTTTCACCTCACGTCCTTTAAATATCTATTACGGTTTCACTCCATAATACCTTTTTGGTTGCTTTGCCTCGGCAATAAATGATTATCAGCTGCTCAGATATTGCTCTTTTTTTCTGAGGATTGTAATATTGTTTTCTTTGAATACAAACTGAATTGAATCAAAGTTGAGCTTCCAGACCCGTTAAAGCCTTGCACTTCGGCCTGCCTCGGAAATAGAATGTTGTATTTTAGCCTGTTGAATTTTACGGTCTTGGAATAAAAAGAAAATATATTGTTGGGAATGTGAAGCTAATAAAAGTGATATTTTTCTATGAAACAGTTGTGGGTGTCGTTTTGTTCACCCGTCAGTCATAGCGGCATGAGGGACGCAGCGACGCGACTGGATGTTTGACATTAAAACTATTTTCGTCTGATCTTTTTAACAGATCCCAGGCCTATGGATTTTGGAAAAGATCATCCCGTTTACAACCACAAGCCCCCCATCAATGGAGGTGAGGTTTGATCCCCCCCCCTTCTCGTCAAGGCCCGAGGCGCCACCGACTGTCTCAAAGTCTCCAACGGATCACAGTGAAAAATCGTTTGCAGTTTATTCTTGTGGGGTAGAGGGGGACGAACAGTTGATATGTTTGCTGTTTTACTGTATTTCACTATTATGGTGCTGGTTCCGGCTTGTTTAGGCCCCAATTGGGATCTGAGTCTCCACAGGGTTTAGCAGGATGCTTGTGGGCAAAGCCCACGGCAACAGTGTCAGACCACCTCTGATGTGTGTGTGTGTGTGTGGCGGGCGTGACAACGCATGGAGACGGTAGCAGTGTGAGGAAGAATCCAAAAGCGTGTTTGTTTGTTTGTGTGTGTGTGTGTGTGTGTGTGTGTGTGTGTGTGTGTGTGTGTGTGTGTGTGTTTCCTCTCCTCCTCTTTCATGTTCTGTTGCAGACAAAGTGAGACAGACAGCTTCCTCCTGGGCACCTAGAAAACATCTGTCTGCAACAATCACGGTTTACTTCCCATGCGTGTGTGCGTGTGTGTGTGTGTGTGTGTGTGTGTGTGTGTGCGTGCGTGCCCACATGCGTGTGTTATTATCCCTTGTTTCTCTCAGCCCCTTGACAGATACAAGAAGGGTACTCAGCCTTTACCCCACTAAACAAGTCTGTTTCACTGTCTGTTCTTGGCTTCTGTGTGTGTGTGTGTGTGTGTGTGTGTGTGTGTGTGTGTGTGTGTGTGTGTGTGCTGCCATTAAACACTCTAAACGCAGGCCTTAAATGCGGATTGGCTGGTACAAGTATGTACATTCATTAAGTGGATTACCCTGATCGCTTAGCCGGCTAGCTGCGCACACTCCAGCACACACGAGACGCTTGGGAGAGCGACTTTTAAAGCGATTCGTTTCATTATGTTTGCAAACTCATGAAGTCAACAATACCGATCGGGGTGGGGGGGGGGGGCAACAGAATTAGCTGTTCTTCAATTAACCGGCTGTGATGAGGGACATTCGCCTCCGCCACAGTTGCGTTGTCGAAGCGACACGCTGTGACTCGCCGAAGGAGAAGTACCACGATCCCTCTGTTTCACAAACTGGAAATGTAATCCATGAGCAGCACAACACATCCCTGCTCGCTCGATTACGCTCAGAGGATTTGCAGCTGCGGCCCGACTGAGAGCGGAATGAGCAGCAGCTCTTTGGGGCTCCAGATAGATATCGCAGCGTTAGCCAGCGTTGACTTTGAGCTTAAGAATTGCTTTTAAGACATAAAATGTCTCGGTAGGAAACATATCTGCCTTAAATCTTTACCCTGTGTTTGGGAGGTGGTCCTTTTATTCCCCGTTCCCATTGAGTTAAACACCGAGTCTGTTCTTTGTTGTAACAAAAGAACAACATGATGTTCTTTTTTATGTTTTATTAAAGCCTGCCAATTGCTTTTTGTACAGAAGTCAATGGAAACCACTGGTTGCAGAAATCTAAAAATAGATCAGTGTCATTTATAAATATGCTCATCGCTCTTAAAATGACCTGAGAATGCTGAGAGACCTTTTTTTTTTCCTAAACTCTTTGTGTTTTCGTCCCCCAGACTACGTCTTCCCGGGTTGGCCGTCCTCCTTCTCCACCCCGTCCTCCGCTGACGTGGACCCGTCCTCCGTCACCCTGGTGCCGGACAAAGACAAGGACAACGCCTGGCTGTACACGCTGGACCCCATCCTCCTCACCATCATCGTGATGAGCTCGCTCGGCGTGCTGATGGGCGCCGTCTGCGCCGGTCTGCTCCTCTACTGCACGTGCTCCTACAGCGGCCTCTCCTCGCGCTCCTCCACCACGCTGGAGAACTACAACTTCGAGCTGTACGACGGGATCAAGCATAAAGTGAAGATAAACCAGCAGAGGTGCTGCTCCGAGGCGTGAGCACCGGGATCGCGGGTGAGGGGGGGGGGGGGGGGGGGGGGCGGGGGGACGCGTCCCACCATCTCCCGCAGAAGTCGTCCTGTCCCGTTCCGTCCCCTCCCTTGATGCTCCGCTGCGTGATGTGTGAAGGGGCTGCGTTCGTCCCAGGACCCCCCCCCCTGTTTTGTGTGGGAACTCGTGACATTGATCTCCCCCCGAACATGATGCAAGGCCTAAAAACACCTGACCCCCCGCCCAGAACCCCTCCCACCCCCCCCCCCCCGCCCACAGCACCACATCTCCTCCGCCTGCAGGAGAGGGCCCGCTCGATTAAAAGCCTGTGAACGAATGAATGAATGAATATAAGTGATCCGCCATGAACTGTAGGACCCACTGGAGCGAGGCTGGGAGGAGGAAGACAGCGGCCATGACAGGCTGGACGCTTGGACCTCGGGCGTCTGGTTGAAATGTCGCTGACGAAAGAGAAACTCTTTCATGCACCACCACGCTAGAAGGGTTGAGTTTGAATGTGTCCAGCAGAGACGGAGGAAATGAAATAAGAGAAGGAACTCCAGCTTGTGACTGTTGGTGAAGCACTAGTGGACCATTTCATGTGGGTACTTTTGACTGAAATCAACACATATCAAGTAAATGCCACCCCCCCCTTACCCCCGTCCACCTAAGAAGTTTTAAAAAAATATCAAACCACGCTAATCTAATGAATCTAGATTTCTAAAGGGTGAAGAGGAAAAAGAGGACGAAAAAGGACATTTTCTTTTCATTTGTTTCTGAAAGTTTTAGGTTTGAGTTGTGTCCATTGGCTGTCGCCCTCTGTGTGCCCTCGGTCTGCGCTTTGTGAAACCAGTGGCATAGAAGAGTAACGGTAACTGCTTCTGTTACGTTTTAGACTTGTTGTGTCTGGAGAACAAGGTAAAGAAGTGTCCGCTTCAGTTCGTAGCCGCCCTCTAGGGCACTTAAGCCATTTTTAGACTTTCTTTAGCTTTGTGTTTGACTTCATGGTCTTAATTGTTACTTCAGCTCTTTTTCCACCTTTTCCGCAATAGGTGATCAGTTTTTTTGTTTTGTTTTTAGTTGAGTAAAGGAAGATGGAGGACAGAAAATCAGAGATTTATCTAAATCTAACATGCTGTTATGGAGTCGTGCTTTAGCATCAGTATTATAGGGTTTGTCAGTGGTATATTATATCTATATTTTTTTGCTTGTCAGACTGTATGATGCCCAAATGATGGACAGACACTGTGTGAACAAAATGTCAGTGATTGTTTTATTGCAACCTATGGATTGCCAAAGAGCTGTGCATGTGCACACGGGGGGGGCCGAGCAAGTGTCATAAGAGGCCGAGCGACGCATCGTCCCGCCTTTTAGCCGCCGTCCCTCTCAATGGAGCACGCTTTAAAAAAGAAAAGAAAAGAAAAAAGGAAGGACTAAAGACGGAGAGGGGAAAATACCGTTGACTTTCATGGACTCAATCAAGCCTTAAGCTAACTACAGTACACGCTGTATCGGAGGACAGCCATCGAGGAGTGCCAGTGCTGCTGGGGAGACTGATGGAGGAGACACACAGAGACAGAGGGGGGGGGGGGGCATATAGCGGATATGTTAACATGCAGGCCAAGTCTATCGATAATCCGACAAATATCACACATTTTTGGCACTACGCAACTTTCTCCCGTGTTTGGCGGAACGCTGCTGGACAACGTCGTGTTTGCATCTCCTGCATGCACACAAGCATGCAGAAAGGATGGCCTCACGCCGTCCCAGTGACAAAGGCAAAGCGAAGATCTTTAGTTGTTATCATATTTTCACGATGAAGGAAATCCGTTTAAAACATTTCTTCAGACAGTTCACCTTTAGTGGCTCCCAAATTTGACAAAAAAAAACTCAAATACCAACCAAACGTTTATCTTAAACACATCTGCAGATGCAGATGTTGGAGTAGTGCCAGTAAGTCGGTGATTCTCTGTGTGCAAACATATCCGCTCACATACAGATGGAATGGTGAAGAGGATAAAGGGCCATTTAATCAAACATCAAATGACGGCAGGTCAGCTGGAATTTTGAAAGGCAAATAGACAAACAAACACAAAACAATGATAGTCAGCGAGAGTCACCGATGCAGACAGAACTGTTACAACTGGAGGACCAGACGCGGTCTACCCGCCGTCTTTGTGTTCTTCTTTGTCGCGCTGCTCGGCCCCAGCCGATGAAGGTCCACCCCTGGATCCAAGTCGTTGTCCTCTGTGGGATGCATAGAAATAGAGGAGGTAAAGGGACGGAAGGAAAGAGTCACATCCGTTGTTACTTCTTCTCTCTGTCTTGCCTGAACTCTCCTTGTTTGAGTGCATACATGCACATAGCCGGGAGAACCATTGAGAGGAAATAAAATGAAAAGGTGTTGGAAGATGATCATAGAATCAGAAGAAGGGAGGGAACAAGAGAGAAAGAGGGAGGTGGAGGGGTTTTTTCGTCCATCTACTGCGTTTTCATTGGACCATTTTCCAAGTGCCTTGGAGCTTGTTGTGTCTCTCTCTCTTTCTCTTTCCTTCTGGAAGTCAAGACAGCATCACCTCTTCTGTCTCCATGGATACACACATATGTACACCCTGACACACAGACACATATGCACATTGCATTAAGACACACATACACCTACGGCACTGGCCAGAAAACTCAAACTGTTGTTTGTAGACTTTGTACAGAAGAATTTCTTTTTTAATGTTATTATTATTTAATAAAGGCAAAATAACAAGTGATTTGGGTCGGTTGGTTTTTATTTTCATTTGTGTCTCTGTTATGGAGAAAAAGACAGAGAGCGTCATTATAAAGTTCTTTTAGAAGTCGCCGTTGTCGTGAAAAGTTTTTAAGAGTCCATAATGAAAAAGGACAAACGATAGTAGGAAATAAAGTAATGAGGTTGTGAT